TTCATACCATAAAAATTATGTCTAAGACATTTTGTCGAAAAATGAATAGTTTCGGAAATAATTGTTTGCTTCCATACTTTTTCCCCACCCTGTATATATAAACATTTTCTTACCTATATAACTTAGCAGTACTGGCAAAAAGATGAGACCATGTGCTGCTCCAAATAGTACAATACCCAAATACATTCTGAAGTAAAACACCTGCAAATAGCCTTAGCTGAGTAATTCTGAATATTTTTATATAATTAAAATACAGACAAATAGCAGAACTCCAATTATCTATTATTAATCATGATTAATAAATTTGTGATTAATAATGCAAGTAGATATTTATATCTGAATGTTTTTTAATGATAAAAACATTTTGAAAAAAAAAGGAAATAATAGATAAAAAATTATCCGCTATACGGAAAAGATATACCAATATAACACTATTAAAGATAACAAAAATTAAAGTATGTTTCTGCATTTAAAAAATGGCAATCTTACGCAAGTTTACCCTATATAATACATAATAAATGTACATATATATATATGTATATTTATTGTATTGTGTGTGTGTGTGTGTGTATATATACAGGGTAGGGCATTTTAACCAATACACGCGAATAATCTCGAAAAGGAAAAATTTGTTCAAAAAATGTTTCAAAAGAAGTCCTTAAGGTCAGGTCTATGTTATATAAAATTTGTTTAATAAAATCCTCCATTTTTTATTGCGAATTTTGTAACTTATTTCAAGAGCTTTCCAAAATACTATAATAAAGTATTTTTTCGTTAGGTACATTTCGAGTCGAGGTTCGAAAGTTACAGTACTATCGGCATTTGTATTACGTAAAGTGTCCGACCGACGATTAAAACCTTTTGAATGTTGTTCAGGATCATGTCCTGGATAACATTTGTTAAGATCAAGATCATTGATGATTGTTTCTCTTACTTTCAGTTTTACATAAAAACGAATTTTCAGTGCAAAAATGAAAATAAGAGAAAGTCACTAATGACTTTGATCTTAAGGGAGTCTTTCGGTTTTTTGAATTAAAAAAATCGATTTTTTTTTCTTTTTTCGAAAGCTTATAGTCTTAAGAATACCCCCCTAAAACATTTTTTGGGAAAAAACGAAAATTGTCCAAGTTATACGAGATAAAATGACGTGGTGTTTGGGGCCGCTCGATCGATTCAAAGAGCGATCGTCAACCAATTGTCATAGGGCGCGTATACTTTAGATCCACTATATATGAATTTGTTTACGTAATTGTGACGCTGTTTTCCCCCCTTTGTTCTCATTTTTATTTTTATTTCAATAACTACGTGACTTTATTATTTTGACATATTATAGCAAAAAATGTTTCATAAAACTTTAAACGCGTTTTTCTCGAAACCGTGTTTTCAAACATGGTAATCACGATTCCAAAGAAACTATTAATCCGACCGACTTCTACTTCAAAGGGTATACTCAGAGAACATGTCATTCTCGCCCGAACTAGAACTAATAAAAGCCTACGTTAATTTTTTCTATTTTTTTAAGCATTAATAAGAGGAAAAAATTAGCAAAATTCAAAAAATTTTTTTAAACTGTCGCCATTTTGAAAATATGCATACGATATTAATTATTCTAGTTCGGGTGAGAATTACAAGTCCACTGATTAAGAAACCGCTTTATTTTTTGTTTTCAGACTAACGATACGACCTGTATTATGATTACCATTTGACCGTGTTCGCGGTGCAGGCTCAACTTCAGCGCCATCTTTTTACTACTTTGTAAATAATAAAAATTACAAAAAAATATTTTCTTACATGTTCATTGTATGCACTTTCTAGACCTGAATTGATTTTTAAGTACACTTATATCCTTATTCATTAAAAAAATTCTCAAAAAATACGTTTAAAATCAGCTCTAAAACTGAAAGACCCCCTTAACAAATGTTATCCAGGACATAATCTTGAACAACATTCAAGAAGTTTTAGCCGTTGGTTGGATACCTTTTTAGAAAATTTATAATGCAAATGCCGGCAGTACTGTAACTTTCGAACCTCATAACTCGAAATGTACTTAACGAAAAAACACTTTATTATAATGTTTTGGAAAACTCTTGAAATAAGCTACAAGAATTCGCAATAAAAAATAGAGTTCCATTAAAAAAATTTTATGTAACGTGGACCTGAGCTCAAGGACTTCTTATCAAGGTGAACCAAGATCACCGTCTTTTTTGGATTATTAGATAATTGGTGTTTTATTTAGCAGTATATAATAAAAAAAAATGTACCTGAAAAATTTGACTCTTTGCAAAGCCCAATACTATAATGCCACCAAACTTTGTTAGCGTGATACCACTGAATACTGAACTCCCCATATTTGTCAATGCATCTGCGACTCTTTCAACTCTAGTTGCTTGAACTGACACGGAAAAAGAATGTACTAGATGACTGCAAAACTCGACAGCTATACCAACTGCCTATAATACAAATTAGTAATAGATAATACATTTTTTAACAGTTGTTATGTAATTTGTATGCGTTTTCTTATTTTTATAGTATATTATATGTTACTTATATGTTATTATATTATATTATTATATTATATTATATTATATTATTATAGTATATGACATGTTACTTATATATTATTATGTTACTTATTTTTATAGTATATTGTATGTCAATATTAATATACTACAAAAATTGTAATATATACTACGTAAAACCAGATATACAGATATATGTATATTATATATTATATATTTTTTTTAAATTAAAAATATAAACATTTAAACAAATTTCTTAATATAAAAGTTTTATAAAAATTTATATAGATAAAATACAATTAATTTTTTAATCTAATATTAACGAAAGAAAACCATTCATATCGTGAAAATTTATAATGCAAAAATATTTAAAATTGAAAAAAATAAAAATATTAAAAAATTTATAATAAACATTTTATTATTTCATTTCAATATGTTCCATATTAAATATCAAATTTTTAAATATATAACTATGAAAAATGCCCAGATGATAACAATAAACAAATCCATGTATAATATGTAAACAATATAAACTAAATATACTAATTTTACAATTATCAACTTACCATAACAAGATTTACTAGAGATACAGCATTCAAAGTTATGTGCCACCAATACATCAGACCACCAATGTTAATGACAATCATTGTGATTGTAATAAGAACCACGAGTGATGAGAAGATATCTAAACCCATTAATAAGAAAGTAACCACAAATATAGCTAGCAATGAGATTCCTATACTCTGCAATGTGTCAGGCCACATAGTTAGATACTGCTCATAAAATACATAGAAAACACTGTAGGGAAAAACTTCTATAGTAGTGTTTTCATAATGCCTTTTCAAGTTACAGTTGAGCATGTTGGTTATGTTCGCCGCTACTACTCTGGCTGCTCTCATCGATTCAAAATAATCGGCTGAAGTCTTGAGGATAGTATGATAAGCCATGAAATATGAAGCACCGACTGTTGACATTCCCGTTTTAGGATCAGTAATATAATTCACACCGTGTCCATAAGCTGCGTGACCTCCTTTAGCACATGTTTCGTCGGGATTGTCTTGCAGAAAGAATGATACATATTTGTTAAAGTCAACGGGCACTGGTCTGTGGTATTCATTCAAAGTAATATTGCAAGTAGAACATTGTCGACCTGTAATCCGAAAATACGTAAAACAATTGAATTAAAATAAATTCATTTATTATTGTAAAAAAAATATATATATATATGAAAGTATAATATACGCGATTATATTAATTTTATAAAGAAAAGTATATACCAGTATGTGGACAGAATGAATTGTTCGTAGGAAAATATTTACAACAACTGGATAATCCCGACCAATCGATATAATCATCCATCCAAGACGAAGCAGGTTTGGCTATATAAGTTCTAAAAAAAAAAAAATTAAAATTATTTTAACATCTAAAGACGAGTAAACATTGAAATAGATTTATTCATAAAATTTTCTATTTCGTGTTGTAATATACCTATTTGGTTGTTTAGATGCTGTAAATATTTGTGTCAATACTGAATCACTATTACAATATTGTCCACCACACACTAAGTTTTGCATTTCCGTATTTGAATAATTTAGGCCATCTTTGACGACGAAATACATTGGCGGCCCAATAGATAAGTAATTATTTAAAAACTGAAAAAGCAAGAATTTCAATTTTTTAATAATTCGTATTTAGCTCAATGTTTATACTCTAGTGGTTACAACATACTTTGAAATATTTAAGGACAAAACTATCTTCGGGCATAGAAAGTTCTTGATCAAGGCCGATTTCAATATGTGGTATTACGGCAATACTGCTACAGAGCCAACCGAAAAACACAATCATTACGATCGCGCGAACCCATTTTTGCAGTAACAGCGGGACGTATGCGACTTTGAAAATTTTATACAACATTCCATCTACTACTTCTTCTCCATCATCACGCTTAGAGCGAATAAAGCAACATACATCTAATCTGTTATTCTGAAATTATAAAAAGACTTTATGCATTTAATATAATCACGAATATAAAAGGTATGTTTAGGGATACGCTATTAGTATTATTTGTATCATTCTACTCTTGTTTTATGTTTTTAACAAACGATGAAAATAGAATGAGACAAATAGCGCTAGTAGTAGACGTCTCCCCGTATGCATTTAACGTATAAAATAAACAAAAGAGAGAGGGAGAAAAGAGAAGAAAATAAAATAGTAATGAAAAGCAAGTCTCTATAAAGTTTGTAGATAAAAATTTCGAATGAATTAAAATTCATTATATATATTATATTAACACACATAAAATTTTTATACATACTGCGTGCCGAATCGTATCAAGTGCTAAAAGACTGACAAAACATGTAATTTGTAATATGAAGTCCACTAATAATGCCATTCCAGCATAAAGAGCAAACGCTTTCACGGCAGGCATATCAGAAAGACCACCTGTAAACAAAAAAAGTCTTAATTGTAACAGTTTACTTGCAAACAATTTTTATTTTCTTTTTCATTAATTTTTTTATTTCTTCCGCGTATATTTACGATATTTTCTGCTAACACATACCAAGGAAAAAGCAACAGCTTTCCGATACACTTGTAAGTAACATACTAGGGCCAACTTGACCCAACGTACGGCCAATGTGTTCCGGGATTGATTCATTTGGACGTCTACCCTCCCTTTGATGAGTTTGAACGAGAATAAAGATATTATCTACTCCGACTGCTAATACCAAGAATGGAATGACCTCGATGATGATCAGTGTAGCTGGTATACCAATAAAGCCGAACAATCCAACTGAACAAATTACAGATGCCAACACTATGAGTACACCTCCAAGTCCAAGAGTAATCTTAGAATCGTGCTAAAAAATAAATGAATTAAATGTACAATAATATTAAATAAGACGTAAAATTAAGATTAAGCATGTAACATAACATATATTTTTACCAAAAGACGAGCGCATGATCTAATTTGGCCAAGAGACACCGCAATATATCCAAACATAATAATGTATGATACTAAAATAGTCACAATGTCCGATTGAGATTCACGATTCAGTTCATCTTCGATAGAACGCTCGGACGTGAATGCTATGTCCATAAATGCCGGTTTTCTTGTTGCTGTCCAATTTTTCATGAAGTTAATAAAGCTGAAATTAAACGATATACGATTAGTATAAGCTTATATGAATAAGAACTTTCAAGTTATCGTGTAAATTTACCTTTCTTCCCATTCCATAGCGGGTAATAATCTGGCTTTGTTGTGATAATTGTTTACAAGAAGAGTAAGGATTATAGCGGTTGCCTTTTCATATGATGGATTATGAAGATCTTGTCCCGGAGACAAAAATCCACCCACTGCAATTGCTGGCTCAACTGGACCGCCGTAAAGTGCGAGACATTCGGGATTATATGCATTTCTAAAAAACAAAAATATATAAATATAATTTAAAAAAAAATATTGTTATACACATTTTCAACAAGAGTATTACGCTTTTTCCAAATACTTCAGATTTATTAATAGTTCCGTTTCAACGATAATTCTTATCAACTTCTGATATATTCTTCAAATAATTGATTTTAAAAGTTTATCGTAGATTTTCACTTTTTCATATCAATGTAAAACAATTTATCTAAAGTAAATCTTATCACTAAAATACAGTTTGTTCTTTTATATCAAAATATCAATTTTTCTGCATATATTAAACATAAATATCCCTTAGAGTCTGTTTTTAATTTTTATCTCCTAGTATATAATAGCACTTTCATATTTTATACTTATACATATATAACTACGTATGTTTCTACAATTCTTTAAATTTTACTTATTCTCGTAAATATAACTACTTAAATGAATATAATATGATGTATGATTTCGTAAGAGTAGTCGATATGTTTCCAATCCTCATTACATACATGTCTACATCTCATTCAAGATTGATCGAAGAGTTAAGGATTGACGGTGAGAGAGTATGAGGATAAGTAACTTGTTTCGAAGATCCATATTTCAGAAAAAGACGGTTGAAATAAATAAATATGTAATATTGCAATCTTTTTCATTTTTATTACTTACTGTGAACAAACTCTAAAATGATCCAAATAGTTTACTGTATAATTTCCTTCTTCTTCTGAGTTTTCAAACGTTTTTAAATCGTCTTGCCAGTAACCCCAAATACTTTGAATAGTACAATGCGAGACGGTTGTTGGGCCGGTAAATGGCCCAGTTAAAGGAGCGAAACATATGTCCGCTAACGTGTAGTTGTTAGGAGTAATTATATTTTTAATACCTTCTTGTAATTCAAAGACCGTTTTTAGAAAAGTATCATTAAACACGGGACCAAATACGATTGGTCCGTCGGATGTGTTGTGTACAACCTGTAATTAACATTAAACAATTATATAACATAAAAATTACAAAATATAATAAATCGAAGTTAATACATATAATCTATTTCTACAAGGACCGATAAGAAACAATTATATTACTGCTTTTTTTATTTTGTAGATATATATTAAAAATTTAATTTGTTCTATATATGCAAAGATAACTTAAGATACTCTAATATATTTTAGTAATACATACATTCGGTAAGCCAACAGAAGTAATAATAATTTGTTCATTTCGATAAAAGGGTTCAAAGTGTTTATCAAAATATTCTCTTTCAATGCGCGATCGAGAATGCGGAGATGCCCACAATTCCACAGGATCTGTAGTAACTTTCATGTATTTTATTCCATGTCCCAAGCCAACAATCAATAGGAAGCCAATTAAATTATATCATAAAATTTAAATTATATTACCTGTTCCCCATTTGCAGAAAAATTCTTGCAAAAATTTGTCAGTACCTGCTCCAAGTTTTTCAATGAAGGTAGATTGTTCTTGATCAAAGCCAGCTGGTAACTCATCGGAGGATATAACACCTAAAAAAATATTTATATTAAATATAATACATTTATGGTTTATAAATATTCGATTAAGCACCATTATGTAGCTTAAACAATCTTGAGTGCAAAAGTGCTGTAAATAATTAATATTCTATCGTTTATAATTGACATAGACTGTTAGCTTCCAGCTAGAATACAGAACATTACACTGTGTGTTCCATCATGTAAGATATTTGTAGGAACGCAATTTAGTTTCACAGTGTAACACCAGAATGTATTGTCTTTCATTCTTATTCTTATAATTATATTTAGCGCATCAATAATAGATTAATGATTTTAATTTAGACTTAAGTTATAAATCTTTCAGAATTGACGGTTTTTGACGATTTTATAACAAAATAAGTATGGTCCCCAAGTAACTTTTTGAAAAGTCAATAATATTAATATGTTTTATACGCTCATACTCTGCTTTTTACAGTGTCGAGTAATGTAACACTGAGTCACAGTTGGAATATTTTGTGTAAGACAGTGTTATACTGTATCATCTATGTATGTTGTTGGAAAACACCCATAGTAATGTTACAAGTAACCAATTTGTTGTATGAGTATAATAACATTTTATAAAAAACTTAAGTTCTAAAATTGAATAATTTTTGAACTTAACAATAATAAAAACAATAATAAAAACAATGCCTTAACTTTAATTATAATTAATAATGTTGAGACCAATACATTACGTTACTTGCTACAAAAAATAAAATTTTTTATACATGGTATGCACTAAGTAGGCTAAACGATTTTAAAGGATGATCCTCACACAAATTCAAAAACTTAATATAACTATATGTCTAACATGACTCAGTTTCAAAGATATAGGGTGTCAAAGTTGAAGGAAAAATGTTGTTTTTCTTAGAAATTTCGAAAATTACTCGAATGATTTTGATGAAATTACTTTAGATAATATATACTCAAGTTATTTTGAAGATGCTGTTTATAGTATCATAAAAATAATTTGAATAGTTTTCAAGATTTTTGGAAAAAATAAAATTTCTTGACATCTTGTATTTCTGAAAACTAAGCCATTTCCGACATATGATTATATGTTATATATATATATAGAATATAGTTCTTTAATTAAAATTAACATAAAATTATAAGAAATCAAATTTTTTTGAATTACTAAAATTATTAATTTTGTTAACTTACAAGAAAATAACGCTTGAAAAGTAATATAGAATATGTGATTTAGGATAAATATGACTAAAAATGTTAAGATATAAAAAAGTTCCCTTCAATAATGTTAGACAATCCATTCCACTAATATTCTAAATAAAACGACTTGTACATATTTTTTAAATTTTCATTATTTTTTAACTATTTTCATAAGTTAGGTAAATTACCTATTTGAATATAACATATTCCACATGAGGTAACACACAAAATTAAATTTTGCTTCACTTTTTTTTCGAGATCATTCTTTAATGTTATTGATGGGAAATTCTTTTTCTAGATTAAATTTATAAACAGAACATCTTACTTATTTTCTAATTAACTATTTAAAGTAATGCCTAGAACATACACATAACATATTGTAACATGCAAAACATAAAGTATTATAAAAAAAATATACAATTTAAAAACATGAAACAAAACATACGAAATAGTTGCAACACAATTTTTGTGAGCAGAGAAATGATATTTGTAAACTACTTTTCCAATTTTTAAGAAATTTATATGCTTCTTTAGAAACTTGAAAATATTTTTTTATAACACTTATTCGTGAATATTGTATATAAATTATAAGATTATACAGCGTAATATATTAATTATCGGAATACAATTCATCAAGTTCATGCTTTTTTTATGTAATAGTAATTATATAAAATGCAAACTTTTCAAGCGTCAATCTTAAGCGTTAAAATTTTTAGTGCAATAGATAATTATCATAATTTGTCACGTAAAAAAATGTAAATATGCAGTATTGCAAAAGATATAAGTTATGTACAGCTTAGTGCTAAAACACTTGATAAATCCAAGTGCAAATAATTGTGAAAATAAGTGAAAAATTTGTCTAATGCGCAATTGACATCCTGGCAAGTACGATCTGTAAGGGCTGAAAATAAAGCGAAAGACACAAAAGCTGTAAAGCAATAAAAAAAGCTATAACAGGAAAACAGCAATGACGAACACATCGTAGATAGTAGAGCTTTAGAATCGAAAAAACCTACTAGAACGCTTAGACTGAAGTGGACTGTCTTCTTGGTCAGCGGCGAGGGCAATACGAGCACCATCTCCTGGGTGGTGTAATCCGGCAGCTAGCCGTCTACCCACCTGTCTTCCTACCTCCTCTCCTCGTGCAACTATACATATGCGCACACCATACATACACAACCTATAGTCTGTACTTATTTTGTATGACATAAGTATTATATGGAAATCATATATGCTTCAAGTAGTTTATATGTTTCAAGTTATAACAAAGTAAAAACTCGTTCCACACACGGAAAGTTATTTTACCAGTAATTCACACTTATTACAATCTAAATAATATCAAATAAAACTCCATACATTAGTTCATAAAATAACAAAAAGTTAGTGCAAATGTTAACACTAACACTTCTAAGAAAAAAATTTAAAAATGTGCAATAAATATTTTACGAGCTGAAGTGGATGACACGTATTCACCATAAAAAATTACTTTTTTTGAAAATAATACTTAAATAATTAATACGTAATATCTTGCAAATTTTATATAACTCTGTGTGTGAATATGGCTATCTTTATATTAATTTATAAATGTAACCATATTGGTAAATTGTCTTAATATTTCTCACAAAAATAATGTTTGTTTTTTAATACATTTGTAAATAAAGAATTAATATTTTAGCGTTATTTTATGTTTTTCAAAGCTTTAAATAAAATAAGTGCAAGAAAAAGACCTCACAAAAAACAATAGCAGCAATAAAATATATCTAAAAATTATTAGAATAAATTAATCACATAATCAATTCTTCATCTCCACCCTTATTTTACATATTTGCTTAGAGATAATTAATAATAATAATAACACAAATTAACTGCATTAGTCACTAACATATTCAATAAATTTTTTAAAAGAATTACATGCAAAATATAATAAAAAAAATAGCTTTAATGGAAAAACCACAATACATTTTCCATTTTCATAATTTGTTATGTTTAGCAATAATTTTATATATATGTATATTTTTATACATTGATATATAGGTATACATATATATGTATATAAAATATACATATTGATCTTTATTATCTAAAACATCTTCGTTTCTTTAAAGAATAAAATAAAATGTTCAATGAAATATTCAGTTCAAAAAGGCATATTACAGTTGGGCTGCGTTCGAAAACATCATTCGAGTGTCCTCCTGTATCGTTTTATCCTTATTATTCACTCAATGTTAAACGAGGATAATATGATACCTGGGTGATGTTTCCGAACTCAGTCTTGATAGGAATCTCAAATGTATTAAAGTCTAGGGCAGTTATTTCAAGCATTTATTTATTGCTAAGCATCTGTACTACTAAGTACAGTGAATGTTATTTTCAAGCATATTGAATCATAAGTTGTTCATTGCTTTACTTATAGTAAGGTATTCTTCAGTGATAAAATCTCAAAATATTTTTTATCTCTAAAAAAAAAAAAACGTTAAAATTGATGTAAACACATGAATTTAAGGGGCCGATTCTGTAACTCTTAACGACAGTCGTTTAAGAGTTACAGAATCGACCCCTTAGTTACGAGGTTATTTGAAAGTTGTATCATTTAACATTTACAATATAATATTTTATAGGATCGTATATATGATAACACAAACTGTAGAAATCAAAGCCTTAAAGGGTCTAGCTGTCTCTTAATGCTTGTATGATTCTTATGTTAATTTATATACTACGTATGTAGTCCCTAGAAACGCGCGCCGAAATTTTTCTTGAAACGCTAACTCTACTAAACACAACACACTATCGCAGTAATATCGCAAGGAACTACATATGTAGTGTATAAATTCACATAAGAATCGTACAAGCATTAAGATCCAGCTAGACCGTTTAAGGGTTTGATTTCTAGTTTGTGTTAACATTTTACGTTGTCGAATTCGTCAAATTGGTTATAATACTATGTAAAAACATAATATATATATATATATACCATAAAAAAACATAAACCTCAAAATCTAAAAAAAATATTTTGGGAAAATTATTACCAACCAATAATATATATCAAACTGAATAATCATCTTTAGATATTTTCTTCTATTTTTGAAAGTGTAATAGATATTTTAAATAATAAAAATTATGATTATTATATATACATATATATACCTTTATATATACATATATATACCTTTATATATACATATATTTACCTTTATATATATATATATTTAAAGAATATAATTTCGATATGCGTAAATCGCATCAAATTTCTTACCTATACGTTTCCTATGGCTGAAACACATCATTAACAGAAGGAAAAGGCAGGAACCACATACAAAAATAATTGTCATTATAACTTCGTAACCATCATAACCAAATATTGAAAATGGCGTTGGTAATGGAGGCATCGGTGGTGGTGTTGGACAACTTTGTTCACAATCGACACAGCTGCAAGCTGGCGTGTTTTTCTATTAAAAAAAGTTTTTATATATATTATATAACTGATTGTAAGAACTTGTTAGACTTGTCTATCTTAACTTTTGATCGTTAAATCGTAGAATGATAAAAAATATAAATGTGCGTTAATAAAAATCTAATAACTCGCATTTTTGTTTTGTATCATTATATGTTTCAGTAATTACAATCTATTCTCTTTTTTCATAATTAATTCATTCATAATGTAAGACATAAGGTAACAATTGTTTAGAAAACTTGTATTCACAATAAAAGTGATTTATCAATATTTAGCAGATCCTTATAAATGAAAAACTCACAGCAAATGAATGCATAATTTGCTTATTTAAGTTTTTTATGCTGTAAATGAACTATATAGATTTTAAAAAGCATTTTCGAATGTATTATTATAGACATATAATATAAAAACATATACACATATTATATATATACAATATATATGTTTTTATACATATAATTTTTTAAAATGTAATACTAACGTTTAATGCCTTGTTGCACGGTGTGATTATAGGATCTAATGGCGTAAATAATCCGACAGGATTATCAGTATTTATATATGTAATTTGGAAAGGTACAAAAACATTATTCTCCGCATCACCCATAAAGTGAAACCATTTCAATGGAGTACATCTACTCGCTCCCCATTCTCCACACATTATATCCAATGCTAACTGCCCCGTACTTGGCACTGACACCTTATTGCACGAGTTAAATGTTCCATCAAGATATTTGTTCGTTATATATATATTTATTCCATTAACATATTCTACACCTGGAAAGAAATTCAAAATAATAAAACACGTATCAAAATGTTGTAACTATAAGATATTAAGTTTTAAACATTTTTTAAACATATAAAGATAGAATATAATAATTACCATCTGCCACGCCTTTCTCCGTAACGTTGACAAATTTGCTTTGGTTAACACCGCATGTGAAATCACAAAAATGCTTTGCTAAATTATCTAAGCAACTAGGGCATCGTTTTAGGAAATTTGACGCAAGCTGGATATTTGAGTCTAATGTAGTAAGTTGCTTAGTATCACAACAAGTATTAATTCCTTTGCCATCATCCACTAACAAATGTGGACAATGCTTAGCCAACAATTTCTGTCCTTCAGAATTTAATGGTTTTGCTGGCCCATCATAAATACAATTTTTTATGTGCATAGATGCATCCGTGTAACACTCTCCATACCATATACAATGACCATTTTCTTCACTGACAACCTGTTTGTAAATAATAATATGTTCAGACCTTCTTTAAATAATCTACTATTTTGTGAAGCAAAACAGCCGATAAAATTAGCTTTAATTCTTTTACAGTGAAATATTTTTCTTATACATTACAGTTACATATATCTACTACCCTCCTCCCCCCCCCCTCCCTCAATAATGTATCACTATAAATATATTAGATAGTATTTTACAACGGATTTAAATATTGTTGTTTAATGTACGAAGTTTCACAGACTGTGTTCACACAAGGCATATATAAAGATATATATATATATATATATATATATACACAAGGTGTCCCGATCTTTTTTGCCAATCACTTTTGTGTAGATAGAGCAGATTAAACTGAAAAGTCCTGTACCATTTTGCAATTTTCGCAATAGTTAACAAGATATTAATTACTAAAAATTGCAAAATCTTGGTCTTGAATAATTTTTTACTCAAATACTATCAACTTCACAGAAAAACTGCAAGAGACAAAAATTATTTACTTCCTTCTCATAAAGTTCTGAGAATTTTTTTAGAATTTTTTCAGAATTTTTTAATACCGTATTTTCTCATATTGGTAAAAATAAGAAAATACAATACTAAAACGTTGATAAAAAATTCTGAAAAAATTCTCAGAACTTTATGAGAAGAAAATAAATAATTTTTGTCTCTTGCAGTTTTTCTGTGAAGTTGATAGTATTTGAGTAAAAAATTATTTAAGACCAATATTTTGCATTATCTTGTTAACTACTGCGAAAATTACAAATGGTAGAGGACTTTTCGACTCAGTTTAGTTCGCTCTATCTACACAAAAGTGGTTGGCAAAAAAAGTCGGGACACCCTGTGTATATACATATACATATATATATATATATATATCATACATAAGGCATTTCCTAATTGAGTTCTTCGTGACCTACGTATTAAAGTCTGATAAGATTTATTTGAGTCAATGAGCTGAATTAATGATTTAATTGGCCTAATATAAAATACAATATTGAATGAACTCCAACAAAGGAACGATTTGTGTGTGTGTGTTTCTTACCTCTCAAAAGATATTCCTATACAATAATGCACATAACCAGTGGGAAATTAATTAAATGTACTATTAGAGTGTGTAAATTTAAAATTAATTTGAGATTATCAAATAATATTATTAACAATATTATTTAATTACCTCAAATTAATTTAAAATTTACACTAATAGTATATTTAATTAATTTTCTAATAAATAAGGCATTAATTAAGAGAGAAAGAATGTGATGCTACTTTTTTAATGGAAATAAAATTAACTAAATATTTCACATATGCACGCACACACGCATGCACACAAAGTAATTATTTACAATAAAATTTAAATTGCTTAATAAATATGATAAAAGAAATTTAAAAAATTAGAGATTGTAATTTTTCAAATAGATTAAAAATTAAGTGCACATAATGATATTTGTATAAAAATAAATATGTATTTATAGATAACATTTGTTAAACATTTATTAAATACAGAAATTATTAAAATTCTCAAATATTTTACAAATATTTCTTAAAATGTTGTTTATCTCATTAACTTAAATAATTTCTTGCTTTTGTATTTTAAATTAAAAAACGAAAATATATAAAAAAAATATATTTTAAAAACTCAGTAAAATTACTAACTTTAGTTTCCGAGGAAAATTTGTAATTATATTTACTTTATATAGAATTATTATGATTCGCTTTACACTTGTCGATAAGGAATTTAAATTATTTTAATATTTATTAGATTTAACTATTTAAATCCCAGGAAAAATATTTATTCTCTTTTATCATATTGTTTTAGATTTTATTAAAAACAAATATTTATTTAACTATAATGAGAAAAAGAAAAGAAATGAAAGAGATAATATTGGTTATGCATGAGAGTGTAAAATAGTGCACTTGTTCATTACACGAGAAATGATATTCGGTATCAGCTCTTCTTCGCATGAGTCATTCGTTTATAAGTTATGTCACGCAATGGATTTTATACTTTGAATTATACCCTGCATGAACCGACAGAATATTTTTTAACCGTCTATAAGTGATTTGATGAAACTTACAAAAAAAACTACGTGATTTATAATCTTATCGATTTTAATAACGTAGTAAAAAAACTGCGTTTACAGTTTAATTTGCATATTTTATGTTAGATAATTTGACTTGCGTAATGCATGCGCAAAAAAAATTAATAATACATTTAATATGACGTAATGATATGATATCTGTTGTATTTAGAATTAAAAATTACTGAAAAAAACTAGAAACTTTGAGTACAAAAAAACCCTAGTAAAATCAGTTTTTACTCCGACTATAAAAGTTTTTTTACTCGAATATACATTTTCTTTGAATATTGAACTCTATATTATTATTCTAGATGTGAAAAAAAGTTTTTGCATTCGTCTAAAAGATTTTGTATTCTAATAAAGATGATTATAAACAAACTGCAGAACAATGGTTAATTCTAATTAGCCACAAACATACTTGCAATTAAATTCAGTTTCGAAAAGATAATCAATTTATTGAACTCCGCAACAACGCAAAGATGTTTTCACCTCGATGTTGACATAAAGTTATAGATACAAAATGATAAGTATACTGAAATAACATCGATATTAAGTGTTTTAACGAGATATCTCAAGAAAAATGTATTTTATACTTTTTTCAGGATTTTGATATTTTTGTTAAAGACTGGTATTTTACTCGGGTTTTCACTCCGAAGAAAAAAACCTGTTTTTTTATCTTTATTACATAATTTTACACAAGCATTTCATCAATAATTTCATACATGCAGTTACACAAATCTCTGAATAAGTCTAGTCTTAAATGTACTAGTCTGATGTAAGAAGGAATCTTATTTAAGTGGAATACTGGTATTAACAATAGCCTTGTTTCTAATCACACTTTAGCTCTTTCCTGCCGTAATGCGAATTCATACAGCCTCTGAGAAATCAGGATAACTCAATATAATAATTTCTCCGTAGGCCTAATATACATAATATACTTATTGCTGTATTTTATATATGTATAATATTTATCTACAATGAATTTGTTTATTGTGCAAAGATTAACAAGCGGACATGTTTCTCTCTTTAATAAATTTCTAAGATTTGCTTTAGAACTAAAATCCGTGAAATTCTGATTTTTTTAATAATAAAAAAAGGAAAATAATTAAAATCTAAAATCTGTACGCTCTTAAAAAGTATAAAACTGAGAAAATTAAAACTCTTTCTCTCCCTCTTTCTCGTTGCGAGATACAAAAAATAACAAAAAAAATCTTATTAAATTAAGTCTGCTCTTTCCTATATTAGTACAACTATAGGCACGATTCTATCAGTTTTGTTAAATATTCATTAAATATTCATTAAATATCTGTAAACTGAATATATTTATACTTTTTACTTTTTCCTCAATAGTTTCAAAGCATATGCTTTTAATTTTTATATTATCTTTACATATTATTTTAGGCCCGATTCTTTATCAATGATAAAGTAACTTTAATCTCGGTTCAATTTACTTAAGTTTACTGTTTATCTTTTTTTTATACTTGTGCCCGTTTCCACCAGAGGCTTTCCACGTCAAACGAGACATCTTTGAAATATTGTTATTTTTATTTTTTTTTTAATTTACTGATATATTTTACAGATAAAAATATGAGACACACGTTTTGCGAAAAAAAAAATTGAGATTCTTATGTGAAGTTATTCACGCTTGTAAGTTGCAGAAATTCATAAAAAATGTCGTTCATGTATGCAAACATTCAAATTATTATATCGTCGAAACCATTAATCGTACAAAAAAAAATGCAAAGACCAATTTTAAAGATCTTAAATTGACGTCTATTATAAGCTGGCACAGCCACTTCAGCACAATCAAACGCGACCTATACCACATTTTTTGCTATTTTTATGCTAATTATTTGTTCTCTTCCTGACTTTTTTGTTCCAGCCGATTCGCTGCCGGCGAAGTACACTTATGGCTGTGCTAGTTTAAGACAATTAGCACAGTCAAAGAAAACAAGCAGCAAATGAAACATCAAATACATATTTTTGTAAGGCTATTTTTTTCGTATACGTATACGGAACTGCGTCGTCTCTCTCTCTCTCTCACACAACAGAATTTTTTAACTATACATTCCATTCGAGTTCCATTTTGTAATTTTCAGGATTACTTCGTAATTGAAATGGGAATATATTTTTACAAAATTTTTTAATTGGTGAATTGATGATGAAAAATATTAATAAAAATTGTAAACAAATGAAAAATTATTTATTTATATAATGATAAATTAAATTATTTATATAATGAAAATTAAATTATTTATATAATGAAAATGATAAATTAAAAATAATACATCCATATAACAATTTAAGATCTTCAAAATTGGTCTCTTGTATTTTTTTGTATGACTAATAGTTTCGACGATATATTAATTTGAATGTTCGCATGAACGATGTTTTTTATGAATTTCTGCAATTTACAAGCGTGGATAACTTCACAAAAACAATCTCAAATTTTTTTGGCGAAACACGTGTCTCATATTTTTATCTGTAGAATATATCAGAAAATTAAAAAAAAAATTAAAAATAACGATGTTTCAAAGGTGCTCGGTTTGGTGTGGAATGACTCATCAATTCTAATCTTAATTTAATTGACTTTCCATCTGTTTTTAATTCTAAGAATTATAGGAAAGAATACATTGTATATAAAATATTCTCAGTACAATCGAACCGAATCTTATATTTTAAACAAGGAGGTATAATTAAAAGAAACATAATTGTGTGTTAACATAATTTTATATATATGTGTATATATATTTTCTAAAAATAATTTAATAAATTTCTATAAGAATTAAAGTAATTAAAATAAAAGAAATTGTGCTAAGAAGGGTTACGGAGCCAAATAAATAAAATTTTAATGTACGTATATAATACAGTTGACATTAAATAAAACATAAAAGTAAAAATAAAGATAAAAATAAAGCAATTAAAATTTGTTGAATTTTGATTTTATAATAAAAAACGAAAAAAAGGGGTAAAAAATTTAAAAACTATTATGAGTCGAAAATATTAAAACTGAAAAGAAAACATTCTCTTTTTCTCTCATTTAAAAATACAGGTAACATTATATAGAAAAAGTCTTATTAAATATTTTTTACACCTTTTTTAAAGCATCGGCATGGTTCTCTTCAAATTAATTTCATTAATTCATTAAATATCTATGTATGGACTCATTATATTTATTTTGTACTTTCTCTTTATTTTTATTTTCAAAGCGTGCTTTTGTACATGTACATAGCCATCTTACATACTAAAAAAGACAAGCTAAAGTTGAAAGGGACACAGTTATTGAATGATGTAGAGATGCTATGTGCATGTCGCAATATATATGTAAATCGTTCTTTGTCCGATAGTAAGTGGCTAACTATCACTAATGTCATTAAGCACTTAGTCGAGTCTTTCTTATGAACTACTAATCACACATCGACTGTCTTCTTTCATTCGTATAACAAGTACACATCAGCGACGGGGATCCGAAAAGGAAAGAGAGATGGAATTAACAGATTAATATTATAAGAGGATAAAGCTTCTAGAACATTCCTCCTGTTGGCAGAGTAATATGTCGACAGGATTTCTCTTTCGAGCACGCAATAGTCTCGAAAACGAGTAGATTAATTCGTGAAAGTCTGTTCAAAAACATCTTTCCGACCTCGACCCACAAACCCGAAAACATTGACGCGTGTTTATTCAAAATAGCAAGTTTTACTCGGATGGCAGCCAGAGGGAATAAATTCGATTGAACGAATTTCTTGGAGACGGGAAAAGCAGCTATAGGCTTTCTCAGCGATCAGCCGAGATGACGTCACGCGACGCGTAAGCGCCGTCGATTCTACTTTGTCGGGGTGTGGACAGTGTATAGACTGTATAGACAGGTATGGAAAGATGTAGCGCGGTAGTGTCTATATACGATATGTGGAAGTACATGTGTGCGTGCTCGCGTTCTCACGAACGCGAGCTGGGAGAGACGAAGCGACGAAGGCCGAGAAAACGAGCGTTGAAATGACGCACGCGCGACGCGCGTGCAACACGACCGTCGTAGTAAGGATGTGGCGTATATACACTTGAGACCATTGTCTTTATATGCAGGATGCGTTACTTACCAGACTTACGAAGCTGGACAGAGTCAACAGCAATAATAAGGGCCGAAGAACGTTACGTGTTACGGCTGCGCCCATCAAATTTCGATGAGCGGCCGTGCCTGCAGTCGCAGTCGTTACCCTAGTCCAGTGCATGGCGTTAATACGTTTTACACCGCCCGCTGAATTCGCTTCTCCCTGCTATCAGGCGCGATGCACTTAACCTCGCTCAAGCTCAACTCTATACGTGTACAACGTGTCGCCATGCGATCATTGCACACGGGACATTTCTTTCGACAATGTTCGTCGCGCAAGACGTCTCCTCGACGGCTCGACTAGTCTTGTGATGGTTTATGAGCCACACGAACAATTATGATCAACCTCACCGCTTGACAGCCGTCGACTGGTGCTAGTACTGCTAGTAGTGGTAGTTTAGTTAGTAGCGCCAGCGCCCGTCGCGCGACACTTGATTTGGTTCGATTCAGTTCGACTGTCGTCGGTCGCTGCCGTCGCGCGAGCGCCACCTAGCGACGCTCGACTGTTATTAATCCGGTGACCGCCGCGTCTCAAATCGATATAAATCACGCGCATAACTGCGTATCTTGTTACTTCTCAACACTTTTCAGTGCGCTCAGATAAAACTTCCAGGATATGTATTATGGAATTATTTAAAATAGATTCCGATTCGGAATTATTCAATTATTCTCTGAATTTCTATTTGTTTTCTAGGAAAGGCGAAATAATTCCGAATAATTCCATAGTACGTTCCTTCTAGGCTTGATATTCCGATAAGCAAATTGTGAAAATCTGTTACACAATATCATAGCATATCATGAACTAATGACAATTTTAGAATAATTATACTTGTATAATAATTTGGTATAACGCAACAGTTTTGTTAGAATAAAATTTCTAAATGATATTTGTCTAAAATTAGATAAATCTAATTTGAGATATTTTTTTATTTATTTTCTTTCAAGAATATGATTGAGACGTCGACAGCGTATTAAAGAAGCGTTATCCGATTATTTTCCAATGCTTGACAAACATTTCCGGAAGATTAAATCATATATTTACATTCCCGTTTGACTTGAAAATTTTAAATTAAACTGGGCTGAATATATAATTAATACTTCATGTTGCAACGTTTCTACATTATTTAGGAATAATTTTGCATTTTGGAGCACAATTACATTTTTAAAATACATAATTTTTTAAATACAAATAATAAAGCTGAAATATTTTTCTCAATTATTGGATAATTTCTTTCCAAACTTAATTTGATAAATAAGATGATGATTCGCTATATCGTTATTGTTTTGACGAACGACTATGTCAAAATTAATTGAACAAATAGTTATCAACATTTTAAAAAAAGATCAAAGTTTCTGCATCTATTTCTGTAAATATTATATGATATCCGTGTAATTGCAGATTACACATTTTATTAAACAAGATTTTTCTATATAATTTAATGAATCCCGTTGTTCTAGCGGGATAAATACCGTACAAACATCGCACAAGAAACAAACAATAATAATGTTCACAGTCTAATGTTTCGAGAAGTGTTCATATAGATTCATCACATGCTGATCGGTTACCTTGAGTCTTCGGCACAATGCCAAATTCCAGGGCTACGCGAATTCCGGCTCGCTCAGCACGATAACATGAGATATATTACTTGGCACAATAAAAAATGTACAAATTGAAACTATAGAAAATTCAATTATAATTAAAGCTTTAGTTTTGAAAATCTTACTAATATTAGTAAAATTTCTTTTTATTTATTTTATCCCTCATTTAGATTCATAATATCAAAATTATTTTTGCTTTGAGAGAAGAAGTATTGTTTACGTAATAATATATGATAAAGGAAGAAATTATCCTTTTTCTTCAAAGTGAAAAATAATAAGATTAATAGAAATGTATATCAAACAATAAGCAATTAATAGAAATGTATATCAAACAATAAGCAATTAATAGAAATGTATATCAAACAATAAGCAATTTTCTATCTTGGAAATTATAAAGGCTTTATCTCTATTTTTTCTTATCTGTCCACTTCATAGTTTCCGAGAACAGCAATGAACAATTTTATATATATAAGTGAGTCATTATTTGTTCTTAAAAATGAAATATATTGAAACGAATTTCAAATCTGACATGTAAGTGCTACATAATCTATGAGACTTTTAACAACTTTCTACTACTTTTAAAAGTTGTTGAAAGTTGCTAAAAGAAATAAAAGACAATGAATAGTAGATTTGAAATTTGCTTTTTAATCTAAAAAGATTGATCGTTCATAGAAACGCATTTACTTAAATACGAGGTTATCTGTACATCCGTTAGAGATAAATTTTTTTAAATATAAGATTATCCAGTATATCTCCGTTACAGATAAATTTCTTAAATTTAACATTATCTGTTATGACATAAGAGACGGAAAAAATTTCATTATATGAAAAGAAACTGATACGACATATAAAATAACATTTTTTATATGAATTTTATATTTCTAAAAAATTAAATTTAAAAATAAGAAAATTAATATATTGGTAATAAAAGTCTATATATTAAGCCCGTAAGTTAAAAAAAAGTTTTAGATAAATAAATCCTTGTTTCTAAAAAGGAACTTATTATTATACAATTTTGATTTTTAATTTGTTATATAAAAGTATCCCTTTTTATAATGATATAGGCTAGTATAATGTGAATCACCTCGTATATATGTATATAACGTATAATCGTGTTGGTAGAATATTCTTGAATCATAAACAATAAACGTTTCGTAGGATTGAATCATAAAGTAAGAATGCGTCGACAATGATAAATCGATGTCTAAGGTATAGCTAGGAAAGGCATTAAATATTGTTTCATTAAAATATTGTACTTAGTTGTATTTGGTTGAACTACCATATTATATAAATAGAATTATAAACAAAGGGAGGGTTTATTGGGAAAATACTTCAAATAAAGGTAAAATTTAGAAAATAAATAAGAATTTATATTATTTCAGAAATTTTGAGATAAATTAAGTTTATAAAAGATTAATCTAAAATAAGAACTTTAAGATATTTCAAGATTAACTTTAAAATAATTTTAGAAAATTCAAAGGTTTTATTATTTTCATTTGCACCTCTGAAATTTTAAAATAAAGGGCAGTATCATTACCAAATGGAATCGCGGTAGTACTGCACTTTCTCGTAAATAAAATTTATTAAATCTATACAAGATCAAATAAAAAGCATAGTAAGTACTATGAGGATTTCCATTTGCATTCTAATAAAATAATTTTGTTAAAACAAGCTTACTTTCACAATTTTTAAGTTCCTCTAATTTCTTTTAAATATTTCTTAAATATAAGTTTTAAGATTACTTTAAATCAAAATTGAAAATGTCCAAATATACTTTCCATATTTCTTGGGTTTTCTCTTAAATTTACTCTTTCTTTAATTTTTCAGATTTTCTCAATAAATTTTCCCAAAAGATTTGTTCCTTGTAGCTAAACTAGTGTATATATTCATTTACTTATTATATTTAAATGAAATAGATATACCTGAAGTTTGTGGCAAAGGCGAGATAGAAAATAGTGCAGTTCGGTGCAACGATAATTAAGAGGCATAATTTTTTTAGTGCCTTATATACACATTCATTAGGAATAATAATAAGCAAGCCCATCAAAGCCAATCATCAGTTAGTCGGATGTACAATTTATTTTCGTGTAATTAAACAAGTCATATCACAATTTTAATAAATATTTATTAAAATTACACGAAAATAAATTGTACATCCGACTAACTGATGATTGGCTTTGATGGGCTTGCTTATTATTATTATTATTGATAGATTCTTTCAAGCCTTTTTTTTAGATATTTGTTCATTCATTAGGACTTAAGCTGATTGATAATTTATGCTAAATATTTTAAAAACAAAAATATTATATGACAATTGTTAAATCAAATTATCTAAAATGCTGATAACATTATAAAGTATAATATAAAAATGCTAAATATTCTCATATCGATTTATATACGACTACGATTTAAGTATCGGATAAGAAAAGGCGTACTCATGAATTTTATCTCTTTTCAAGAAATACATAATTTAAATGCTCATGAAAAAAATAGTAGGCATATCAATGCGACTATCATACGCTATTGCCAGGCCAAAGCTGGCAGAATGATTCAAAAAATTTGGAAAAAAGTCAATAAAAATGACGTATATAAAGCTTATACATTTGCTTTAAAAAGACTATACTTCCCAAACAACACAAAGTTTAAAATTATGACATAAGACGTCTTTTTAAGTTGTCTTTTAGACATAAAAATAGTCTTATGACGCGATTTTAGATACTTTTTGTTGTCTGGATTATAACTTTTGTTTATATATAAAAAGTATTTTACTTATAATAATAGATATAGTTCATATAAAAAGTACTTTACTTATAATAATAGATATAGTTCATGTAAATATAGTATGTTACGATGGATGATAAGAGAAGATATTAAATATTATAAAGGATTCATTTAATAAAATGTGTGTGTTTAAAGAGATGTACGCGATATGCGCTTACAACAACACAACATATTGCCTAATTTCATCGCTTGAAAAAAAGTTATCGAGAGGAACATTATATGCTTTACTTGCTTTATAAAATTACCTATTATAATGAAAATATTAACTAATGAAGATTCACAATATAATTATTTGTTAAAATTTTAACAATTTATATATTATAATTAATTATGCGTATGTGTGGTGGGATATGAGGAAAATTCATTTATTTCAACATATAATGAAAGAAGGAAAAATTTACATAATTTCTCACTTCTGGTAATAAAATTCAATATGGCTAAGGGACAGGAATTTGAGGGCCTCTTTCACCAATTTCTAGTTAAATTAATCGACGATCAATTCATAGTAGTGCCAACAGTAATTTAATGTATGAGAATGTCTCCTCTCTCTTCCTTTTATAAAATAAACTGTGTTTAGTTCTCACGTACGTTGGCAATCATGATAATTGAGTTAACCATTGATTAGCGTTAATCTGAGTTGGTGAAAGAGGTCCTTTTAAAGAGCTAAATCAGTATGTAAGTAGTCCCGAATAAGAATTCACAATTAGAATCAATGTATCTATATAACAAACACATTTTCTTATTTATAAAATAAATTTTACAAAATATGTATACATTATAAATCTATAAAATTAATCGTATAAATGTTTGAAGTTTGAAATATTTTGTCAAAAATTTAAAAAATGCAGCTTCGAAGAGAAAATTAAAACATATTTAAGTTATTTTAAGTGATAAAAAAATTAAAAAGATTTTTTCTAATTAGCTATTTTCGGGAATAATATTCTTTCTATAGTCATTATTAAGCTTCCTTTTTAAATATTTTTTGCTGCTACGACATTTCTTTATTTGCATGTATATTCCGTACTTGGCAGTTTAGAGAATTCGATACAGTGAGTTTTGATTTCTTAGTACTTTTACAAATTTGTATCGATGATGGTATTTGCTGTCTTTAATATCTTTAAAATTTTTATCAAAAAGATATGGCATATATAAGTTAGCTTGTTTTCAATAACAGAATTAAACATTGTGTTTGAGGCTATTTTTCAAATTACGTTCTATATTGAAGTTTTTAATATTTATTTGTTCGTAAAAATATTGTTCAAGTAAATCTGTGCACTTCAATTCTAAATTTTATTAACAGCGTAAATACATTTATGTTATGAGTTTATATACCTACTTTTCAAATTTCTCCTACTAACTTTACCTGCTCAAAAATAAATATATTAGAAATTTTTAATATAACACTGTATAAAATTGTTATTCCTATGCAAAATTATAATAAATGCTGAAGAACCATCTCTCTCATCTAAGAACTATTTCTCTAGTTAGTCTAATCTTTTCGTTGATTTGTCAATAATTACGAGATTATAATTGAATTCGTTTTTGTACTTAACTTTTATATTTATTATAATAAATTTATATTTGGTTTAAAATCAATTACGTAGATAAATAATGGAAGAAAAAATTAAGAACGATTTCGACCAAATCTGATTATCTTAATCAGTTGTTAACTCCAACCGGCAGAATCATTTAATGAAATCTCTAATATACAGTTCATTGTTCTTAATTTTTTTCGATAAGTTACTAAATATAATTTCAATATATTATTAAACATAATATTAATTATTTTAATTGTTTTATTCATATATTATTTGATAAAACAGTGCTGATTAAGTTAATCGAAGTTTATAGTCGAAGTCGTCCTAAATGGCTTGTCACGTAACGCACATGAATATTTGGATACAATTGTGTTACAAAATTTATAACTTTCATCATTTTTCAGATTTTGATAAACATTTTTTCTAATTTATATTACTAAAAATTGAACTAATTTTTAATAAAAATAAAAATAAAAAAGAAATATCAACTTTGTCTTTCTGTACTGATCTAACTCTTTTATTCATTCTAGCATCTGTATTTATTTCCATTGTACGTTTTCGTTTCATGATATATAATACATATGTGCATAATCACCTAGTACAAGTTTGCGTCTCTCATGCACCGGAAATAACATTGATCCATACGCATATCGTATATTTATGCTAAACTGACTATGCAATTGTTTTGTTTAGATACTTATATATATTTATATATTATATATAAATGTAAGCCTGGGAAAAAATGTTTTATATATAATTATATAAAAAATTGACATATTTTATATAACATTTTTCCCGGGAGCTCCGGGATTTTTAACAAAAAATATTGCAGAATGTTGTTTTTGTACAAAATTTTTGTGGTTATCATTTTAAAATTTTAACACTTTTACGACGAACGTTTCAGATGTGGGAATTTTGCCTGTTGATAATTATATCGTTGGCAGTTAAAGTCACGCGCACGTGTCGTTTGCCGATAACCATTAACAGCTAATGTCACACATATATGTGATGCTTGCCGTGAAAGTAGTGTAAAAGAAGTTCTTAAAGATATTTGCAAAGCAAGAAAAAAATGATCGTGATAAATTTTCACAAGGACAGGATCAACGCAAGAGTCGTATTACTAGAAGAATATGTATTCATGAAAAGAAATTTTTTATTCTAATACTATCTTAATACATTCAGAATTTTTTCTATGAATTCAAGCTGCTTATAGACTTTATGAGAAGTCCAAATAGATCGGGAAATACATAAATGAATAGATCGTTCGCAACAAACAAAATGTGCAAAAAATTCCATACATCGGTTTATGTAAATGACTTGCAAATCATAAGTGGGTATAATACGTTAGATCGGCTAAAACAGTCACATTTTAGTTAAATCTTATGATCATGAGCTTATTAGACGCAAGCGTTAATTTACTCAATAGATATAGTTGATTCCTGCAGTTCTTGCATGCAATAACCATGTATGAAGTCTTCCTGTTTTTTTCAGTTTTTAAAAAATAAAGAGAATCATGAAATACATAATATTTCTCACATACACTTTTTAAAGACAAGATAATTATGTTTATAATTCAGAATCAATCTCGCTAATTATTTATGCAAAATAAATATTTCGTACGAATTTTTCATTAGAAATAGGAATTACCGAAGCAAAATAGAGAACAGAAATTATTATATAATATAATATATGAATAAATTATTTCGTTAAAATAAAATACGCCACGGATGGTAATTATTTCTATGCAAAATACTCGAATTTAAATATACCGTTTAAATATATATTATAAATTGTAAATAGAATATGCAATATTGTAAATGTAAATTATAATAAATATATTATAAATATAGGTAAATGTTCAGTTTAACGCTTTCTCCTCTGACGATGTTCCTATAATTTTGTAAATTTGTGTATCTTCATGCGTACATGAATATATTCCGAGAAGGAAAATCGTCACTTACAAATCCCATTTTTTCTTTAATCTCACAGTTTTTTTCACGTCAATAAGTTAGAAAATGGTATGTAATAATGATAATGATAATGATCTGCTTATATATATTCACTGTATATTTTTTATTCAAAATTTATATTTTTTTAATTTTTTTTTGTAGACACAAAAAATTCTTTTTATTTACAATAACAGGACTTAAAGGGTCGACGATCGAACTCGATCGAAGTGACTTTTTTAAATTCCAAATTCGATAATAGTGACATCTTTCATTCATTTCTTATACTTATTACATATTGTTGTGTCTCGTTCAAACGCATTCATCTGTCCTTATCTAATATATTGCAACGCTATCTCTTAAGGCCCGTCTACAATACACGGAGTAAGAAGTAAGAATAAGAAATTGACCAATCACAGTCGATTATTCTTCTCACATTCGACTGTGATTGGTCAATTTCTTACTCTTACTTCTTACTCCGTGTATTGTAGACGGGCCTTCATACGGACAACAGCGCTTTGACACCAAACGCTGATTGGCGAAAAACGAGTAATGGGGGTAAATTTTACCCCCACAACCGGCTTTTCACCAATTAGCGCTCTGTGTCAAAGCGCTGTTGCCCGTATGAGGATCCGGGCTAAGACTCCATGTATGCGGTGAGCTCCGGCAAATTGCTGCGGTGACCAATCAGGAGCCAGGTGCAAGTACGGCGCTTGCCGCAGCCTGTAGGCCTGTCTACAATACAGTGAGTAAGAAGTAAGAGTAAGAAATTGACCAATCACAGTCGATTATTCTTCTCACATTCGACTGTGATTGGTCAATCTCTTACTCTTACTTCTTACTCCGTGTATTGTAGACGGGCCTTGTGAGATAAATCTCGTAATCCGCGCATATGATTGGGTAATCTTGCTACTTACTCAACAGGTAAAATTTACCAAAAGGTGGAACAACCGGCCCTCAGTCTTGCTCACAGCTCGATCTGCTCGACGTCCGTATTCCCCCTCTAGTAGTGTAAGCTCTATGGGTAGCCTTCGCCGTCGCCGCGCGCAGCCCTCTCTTTCGGCGATCAGACGAAGGGGTCTCTCTGTTACTGTCTGGTAGAACTTACGGTCAACTATTTACTCACCCGGAACACCTCGCCATGGCTGTCGGTGACCTGAAGACTGATAAGGGTATTGAGGACCTCAACACTTACCTCTCTGACCGCAGTTATATCGAAGGGTGAGTTTATTTTTAGCATGTTCTCGGCATCACCCAACGTCTCCGGTTCGGTCCACGTGCTTCACTTGTCGGCATCTTGGCTCTATTTCCGATTTTCACTCTGTGTACATACCATGAAGCAAGTTTTCCCGCTCAAGTTTTTCCCCAAGGAAAGACTCGTTCCATCACGAGCACCTGTACAGCTTCCCTGTATATTTGCAGCCTTTGGTCTTGCTGAGATAGAATATGATGTTTCTAGTGTCATGTATGGACATGTGTTACACAGATGGCACATACACACACCGGGTGGTCCTATATACATTTTGAATTTATTTTTCATCTCTTCTCTGTTCTTTCTGTCCTCTTTGATAAAAATCCTCTTCTATAGAATTCCACAAATATATAGAAGTTTTTTGACGAACTCTTCTATTTACAGTTCCATATGTATTAACATATTTACATATATATCTATGAATATATATTAGAGTAAAGGTCATATTCTTAGTCTGTTCTTTCAAGATCATCTTAATGTCTTAAAATGCTAATATTGTTTTGTGATTGGCTTATGATATCAAAAGACTGTACTCAAGACGATCTTAAATATAAGAACTCTGACAATGAATATTAGTTCAAGAATCTCAATTATTTCTGGTATGTACATATAGTTTTAAATACACTTTATATTTATCGCTTTGTTATATAATTCTTTTTTTAATAACTTGCAAAATGAAGAATATTGCACATAGATACCTGGAGAAAAAGAATTAGATCTACCGAGATACGATCATATTGGTTTCAACAGATCTGACCAGATCTGTAAATTATCTAACTGGCCAGATCTGAGTAGATATAATCAGATACAACCTCAGTAAAAAGTATTTCATATAATATTAATTAATTCAATTTCATTGCTAAAATGAGTATTGTTGATTAGTATCATATTCTACACTGCACGCAACAAAATTATGATAAAAAATATTTTTTCCTGTTTGAATTCGGGAATTAATTAACTTTATATTGTGCTCTCAAGCGATCACTCATTCTAAGCTGTATCACATCTATTGCTGCTTGATCTCTACTATTGTATGGGAATTGCTATTTTGATTCATGAACACTGAATGTTAATGCACAAATAGTTAATCCACATATATGACATATCTGGTCAATAGATGTTGTACACTTCATATATAGTTATATATGAACATATATGATCAGATCTGAGCAAACATGAGACATCAAAGATCAGATTATGCTCTGTATATGGTTACATATGAACATATATGATCAGATCTGTGCAGATACTGAAAGTCATATCTAAGTATATCTGACTAGATATAATTTGATCTGGTCAAATTTAATCCTTTTTTGGGAGGGAGGGGGGTAATTTTTTAATTAGATTTTAATGAAGATTTGATATTAAAAAAAAATTGTTTATTTTTAAAAACTTTATATGTTGTTTATATAATATGTATTAAACACTAAGTATAAGAATATTCAAGCCTATGACGGTCAAAGCTAGATCTTTTTTACCTAAACAATTCCCAGTGAATTATCTATATCCTATATATGTACATGCATATATATCATATTTTTGTAGTTATTCAAACTGCAGTTTGTCGCCCGAGCGAAGCGAGGGTGACAAAAAAGCGAGTGTGGGAACACCTACGCAGCGCACGAGTATCGTATACTATTTTTCGTATACTATCGTGCTCAAAGTTCGATTTTGCACACGCATTTGTGCAAAGTATCACTTTCCCGCACGCTAAACTACAAGTGTGGGAAAGTGATACTTTGCGCACGCAAATGCGTGTGCAAAATCGAACTTTGCGCACGATAGTAGGAAAAAAATATTACCTCGATCGGGACTTGAACCGTCATAGGCTTGAATATTCTTATACTTAGTGTTTAATTCTTGTCGGTCCGAATAAAAAATCTTATTATTGATAATATGTATTATTCATTTTTATTAATTTATTTATAATAAGAACGGTAATAAAATTTAAAAAATTTATATTAAATCTATCTATTGATAACCTATTAATAAGATTGCAGCGCAGTATTAGAAAACAATTTGTGTTCAAAGTATTGTAAAGGAATTATATTTTTCAGTAATATATAAAATTCAGTAATGTGCAAGTTGATATAAGGATCAACTTCATTACAAAATAACAGAAGAATTTATGTTCAATAGGTGGCAACCAACTCAAGCCGATGTTGCAGTACTTGAGGCACTGGGGAAAGCACCGACATCTTCGAATCCTCATGTACTCCGTTGGTACAACCACATAAACTCATATGATTTGAAATCACTTCCTGGAGAAAAGAAAACACCTGCCATTCTCAGTGCTGGTGCCCCAGCTTCCTCCACAGGAAAGCCAAACGACGATGATGACGACTTAGATCTATTTGGTTCGGATGAGGAAGAGGATGCAGAAGCTGCAAAAATCAGGGAAGAAAGGTTAAAGGCGTATACGGAGAAAAAATCAAAAAAACCCACAGTTATTGCCAAATCGAGTATTGTTCTGGACGTGAAGAGTTGGGGAGATGAAACCGATATGAAAGAAATGGAAAATGCAGTGAGATCGATTCAAATGGATGGTCTGGTTTGGGGTGCATGTAAGTTGTATATTTTATTGCTCTATTGATATACATATCTAAATCGATATAAGTAAATTATATAATTGAGTTTTCTATTTTTAGCAAAACTTGTCCCAGTGGGCTATGGCATAAACAAGTTACAAATAATGTGTGTGATAGAAGACGAGAAAGTATCAGTGGATTTGCTGATTGAACAGATTCAAGAATTCGAGGAATTAGTTCAATCCGTAGATATTGCTTCGTTCAACAAGATCTAAGGATCAAAAACAGCTCATACTTTTAATATTGAATTAATAAATATTAATTGTTTGTATATATATATAATTTGTTACTCTCTTAATATACCCGAAGGATTCCTAATGCAGTCTTGAAGAGTAATACAATTCTACTAAAGCTTCATTGCATCATATTTATTTTTTAATACCTTGCATATATACATTAATACATTTTATATATATACTATATATACATATATTGTCAGGCAAATCATAATATTGTGTCTGAGATATGCAATGCAAAAATAATTATTCGTTTTTCATCTTCAAGCACGTCTTATTAGCTTTTCCACTTTATTAACTTTTTACAAAGTCGTATATCTATAAATATATGTCAGAATAAATAAAATGTAACTGAATTTATAATTTTGATGTATTAATGTAAAAGTTGTAATGCTATAATTATTTCTATAAAAGAAAAACGATTTAGTAATCGTACATATTTCATGCAATGTAAAAAATACAATATATCTTACTATATGACAGTTACTAACTTTTAAAGTATTTATTAATTTTAAAATTTTCCGGTATATATTTTTTACATGCATGTACACATATAATAATTATTATAATTACATTCAAAAACTAAACTGATATAAGCTATGTTATCGGTTTCAGCAAGAAAATGAAAAGTTATAATAAGAAAACAAATTAGAGATTGCTCTTTCTGTTTATTATTTACAAATTAAAGATATCGTAGTTTCAAACAAGACTTTTACATTATCGTTTTATATAATAATATGAAGAATTTCAGACATTTTATCTATATAAGATGAATAATATGCGACCACGTCAATCAATTGACTGCCATTAATTGTCGGATACGTATATTTATACATATAATGGAGAAACGAAATTTTCTCTTTCATTGGTTCATAATAATGAGTCAAAATTTCTTATTGCAAAAATTTAAACGAATAATTTCAGGTAATAATAATATTTCAATTTGGCGCAACAACAACACACCTACAACGCCGCACGTTGTTATTTCACGCGCGTCTGCTGTCCCTACAAACTTGTTCCCAAGGAAAAGTATCAATTGTAAGACCATCGAGAAGAGAGGCGCGCTTCTAGGGCATTGACATTGAACTTGGGATCCGGTTGTCGTAGTCTTCACATTTCTTCACGCTGTAAGTTTCGAAACGAAAACGATCTGTTATTTGTTTAGAAGAAGCGTTAAGAAATTTCAAAAAGATACAGAATTAAATTTCAAAATTTGTCCTTTTCTACTAAAATATTAAAATATACTATTCAATGTTGCAAGACTAGAGCTCAATATTGTTCTTTTTGTCTTCTTTCTAATACAGTTTTTTTATTGACACGCTGCAAGATGCTCTAGTATTTTGCGATAAAATGCAGGATTTTTTATCTTTAATATCTCGAAGTTTGCAAGTTTCGAATAGAAAGATAGAAGATATAATGTAAGAATTGTATGATACTGTAAGATTCTAAAAGTATATTAAATTATATTGTTTTAATATGACTACTTATGTTAATTATAATAGTAATTATAATGAGTAATTATAATAGATCTGTTCCTTTTAGCTAAAGTTCTTGCACGGTCATCTTTCTTCCTTTTTTCTCCACGTTGGAGAAAAAAAGAGAAAAAATGGACTGAGTAATAAGTTTAGCTAAAAAGAACAAGTCTATAGATACATATATTAATTTGTCAGAAATTGATTATCATACATATATAACAGATATAGTGTACATATAGAAGAATATAAAAAAATTTATTTTTCATAAACTTCAACTAAGATGTTATAAGTGAATTAATATCTAAACGTAATTAGAAGATTTATAAGATATATGTAAATATCATATTTGTTACTTTTAATAATTTTGAAAATTTTGTGATAAATAATAAAATAGAAGCTTTTTTTCTTTTAGTTATTATAAAAATTATATGTAAGACATCTGTGGAATATCTTCTAATTTTTAAGAACGAAATATTGTTATGTTTTAAGATGTTTACACGTAATTCATATATATTTAAAAAATTTTTTCAAGTTTCTATATACATGTGCTATTATTTAAAAAATTTACTTGACGCGAATTAGAATAATTTTTAATGTAAATATAAAGAAACAAGACATTGTTCGGTTGCTAATTTTCGGCTATTTCCAAACTCTGCGACCGTGTTCGGAATTTCGTTTCTCTCTTTTTCTTCTGACGCATACGACGATGAAATTCTCGTCCTTCAGCCACGAACAGTTCTTCCTTTCCCCTCTCTTCCTGTGTCATCGTATCCTCACCGCTTGTCCTCGCCTTCATCACGCGTTGCTATCGCCGTATATAAGAAAGCGATGATCAAGAAGCGTTCGAAAGCGAGGATCACCTCGATCAGCACAGTGCGCTAATAGACGTTACTTCTCACGGATCAGCAATAACATATCTCCGAGATGTTCGCGAAAGTCTCGTGGGTCGCCATAACAATAACCGCGCTATTTTGCGTTTGTACCTTCGGTGAGCTATCGATCATGTTCCTTTATTTTATTGTAGAAAAGCGATTTATAACATGCGACTTTTCTCTAAATGACAATTGTGATTTAACAGTATTACTTGTACTATGTAGTAACTAAATATTAAAAAATTTTGTAAGAAAATGTACACGTTATTGTTTGAAAGTTTTTATAACTATGAATTTTGAAATACTGCACATTTTAAAATATTTAATAATAAAAAATAATATCTTGATTTCAAACATTAAAATTTATTTTGCAAATTGACTGCCCATTTTTCATAATTTTTTAGTTTTTATACTCATTTTTACATAAAGTGTTTTAAATATTTAATCTTTTATTAAACTTATGTTTCGTACAAAAAGAGCAAAATTTTGTATAAATTTTTAATTAATTCGAAAAAAAAGATTAATCAGATCCGGCTATCGCTCATAGTTCCTGCAGTAATTCTTATCAGCCGTATATTATTAATAGCAGTCAACATCTCGTGGAATTCTTTAAAAATATTTCTGTATCCATGACCGCATCCCTGATTGTTACACGATACGTCACCAATCTCAAGAGTTTTCTTATTCCATCTCTGTAGGAAAGACTAATCTTTTTCTGTTATTATTGTATTAATATTACAAATAACATTTATGATTTAAAATCTTATAAGAAAGGAATAATATCTAAGGAATAAGATAATATATGAAATTTCTAATATATATATGTATGTATATGTATATATACATGTGAAGAATTAAAATTGTATTTAGCACTCATTTTTTTTTTAATCTCTAATCGCATTGTATATATTTTCTAGTAATTACTTGTCAGCAGACAATGTTTTTAAAACATTTTTGAAAGGACATATAACATAAAGTACAGGCAATAGAAGTCAACGCTGGTTATCAATTAGCGCAATTCTTAATATTTAAAATATAAACCTTGACTTTGAACGTTTCCACTCGTGGTTTGAGTTTTCATCAGCAATCTTTCCCCTTAGAGCAACCGTTGGAGTATTGCATAACAAAATAATATCTCCAACGTTTTTCTTCTCAAAATTGAACCGGTAACTGTTGTGAGGTAAGTCACATACTCACAAAGTTAAAAAGCTGAGTGGCAATGAAAACTTAAGCTCACACAGTCGATAACACTGAACAATAAATTTCTCTTATGTAACATTTTGTTAGTACTCGTTAGTATGTTAAAAAATAATCGTTAAATTTAAAAATAATAACTGCGAGAACAATATGTGTCTTGTCATTTCGACAGTCGGTTAAATAATTATTCAGTGTAGAAGCGTCGACTGTGTAAGCTTGAGTTCTCATTGCCACTCAGCTTTCTAACTTTGTGAGTATGTGACTATTACCTCACAACAGTTACCGGTTAAATTTTGAGAGGAAAAACGTTGGAGATATTATTTTGTTATGTAATATTCCAATGGTTGCGCTAAGGGGAAAGATTGTTGATGAAGGCTCAAATCATGAGTGAACACTCAAAGTCAAGATTTATATTTTTAATATTAAGAAGAATTGCGTTAATTGATAACCAGCGTTGACTCCTATTGCCTGTATTTTATATTATATCTTTTTTCTAAATTGTTTTAATTTAAGGAGTCTATAAAAAACTTATTAGTTTTTTGTTAATTTGTAACTTCTCATTATTTTTTAAATATTGTGTGTTGATTGGTAAAACCAAATTACGTGACTATAATTATATGAATTATATCATACTATTATAAATTCATTACAATCTCTAGCTAGCTTCATATAATATTATTTGACACGATTCTATAGAAATGTAACTTTGCAATCGATTTGAACGTTATAGTTAATATTCTTTTAGTCATATTTTAACCATTCATCATTAATGATGATTAAGATAACAAAATCCAAATATAGAAAACATGTTTGATTACATTAATGTAAATGTCATTTATGTCCGCGTTTCCTTTCTTCATGTTCGTATATTATTTCATCGTTTTCTGTGTTATATTGCAATAGCCTCGCTATAATAGATCATATACAGTTGTAATAAAAATTTTGGCCTATATAAAATGTTAAAAATATTAATTAAAATTATAAAGTAGTAAAAATATATATTAAATGTAAATAAATAAAATGGAATTATATATTTAACAAATTATTAATACGTATATTTTAAAAACAATCTAAAAAGAAATACTATAGTTATCAATGAGTAGAATACTTTTATTTATCAATCAAATAAAATACAATTCAAGATTTATATATATAAGAATAAGCGTGTGCACAGAATAATTATTTTCTTTTTCCTTCTTTTAGATTTTCTTAAACTCTCCAATTTCATTCTTTACTCACAAAAAATTGCTCAATTGGTATTCGAAACTGAGTTCAATCTTTGCTATGATCGTTTTTAGTCTTAAGTAAACTAACAATAAGTGAAAAGAATAGATAATCGTTTCACACGTAATATCCACGCTTTATACTCATAAAGTATTGGCCTTGAATTAAATTATACAGTTTTATTAACTAATCGATTATAACGATAAAAGATCTAGCGGTATTGATTACAGTATCCGTGATTAACGATCAAACAGATTAAGATATAGAAAGGCCCTGACTTCGTTAAACAAGTCGTTTCAGGCCGCTCCCAACCAGTCGGAGTTACAAGATGATCCGTTTGTAATCTGACTCAGAAAATGCGGACCGTTAGCTGGAAGTTCCGCATTAACCCATTATCATAAACTAATTTAATATAATCTAATACGATTACCCTTGGCATATTATTTGATGAAGTTTACTCATTATACATATTTTCTCTCATAATTATACATATATTTCAAATCGAATGCAGAAATATTGTACAAATTTATATAGAATGTATAAAATTTGATTATACATATTGCAAATGTTCAATATACAGATACAGTTGCAATTTATATAATCCGTATTATGACATATATTAAAATATGGATTATCTGCAAGTAAACAGATTTTTGCCAATAATATATATATAATTCATTCAATAATACTGGACAGACACTTTTAAGTTTTAGACCAATCATGTTCAATCTACGGTTCGCCTGTGAAAATCATATTTTCTATTTTATGCAAACGAAATAAACGATTAGTCCGTAAGATTTTATCTATTTCTGAAAATGGCTCTAAAAATGATCATTAAAAAATGTTGAACGTCGTTGTTATGGACGATTGATTTTAGTTTAAATAACTCAACAACTTTAGATAATCTGTTATAGATATAACAAAGAAGAGATAACAGAGAAACGAATAAAGAATCGTGATTCGAATGAAAGAAAGGTTACCACTATAGTTACCATGACCATCTCTGAACGAGTTGTAGTTTAAATTCATGAGCCTCGTGCGATTTGAGTTATATTTTTAACCATGACGCTGCAAAACAACCGCGCCCGTGCATACGATACATAAGCGATCACAATGTTGCGAGATATATGTATATACATATAAGTGATATCACATACCGAAAATGCCAATTCCATTATATACATTGCATAAATGTACCAAACAACTCTATATTTTTATTGTAATGTCATAAGTGTTCTAAATCAGATTTTAAATGTTGACACATTTTTACACTTCTCACAGATTCTTAACGTGAAGAATTATTTTAAAAATCTGCAAAAGATACGGAAATTTAATTACCTTTTTCATTATAATATTCGTCATTATCGTTATTATTGTTATTATTATTAATTACATTAAGATATATAATTATATATATATGATAAATAAATAAGTATATTATGTATTTATTTTAAAATAATTTATATATTAAAATAATTATATATATATTGTATGTATAAAGCACTGCTGTTTAGCGTTTTTAAGACTTAAAATAAATAATTTCCAGTATTTAAAATTGATCAGTATTAAATCAAATTTCTATAAGGTCTTTAAGGAATTTCTCGGTAGATTTAATTATAATTGAGAAATATATTAAACATTTTTAATATTAATTCTTCTATAGACTTGAAGATATAAAATGTGATTGTAATAAACTTTACATGACTTCAAAAAAATTAAATATATTTTTAATCAAAATTATTTTGTGAGATTTATAAATATTTTCGATATTTTATTTAAATTAACTTATATTTCTTTTTTGAGAAGAATAAAAAGCTACAGTGAATGGATATAGATATACTATCTAGATAATACATTTCTGATTCATCGACTCTACTTTCGACAAATTACTTTGCTTATAATAAAATAATAATTAAAACGTTATAAAAAAAGGTAACTTTTTATTGTTATTAATAATGTTTACATTTCTATTTTTCATTACAGCTCAAATTGTATCGCAGGTCTGTTTAGGCTGCATATGCGAAGTTAGTTCAGGATGTAATACCACCATCGGGTGTTCGGAAACTGTATGTGGACCATTTGCCATAACATGGGGTTACTGGTCTGACGCTGGTAAACCAACTTTAAACAGCGAGCCACTTAGCGACAATGGTGGGTTACATTCTCTTAAATAAAATATTTTAGATAATCGAAGCACATAGGAATAATTTTTCTTTCTTCTTCATTCATTCTTAATAGTCATGCTCCTTTTAAACTTTTCTGATAGAACACAGACAACACACGTTACAGGCAACACACTCTACAAAATCTGTATAAAATGCGCGTATTCGAGAATCAATTAATTATAGAAACGAAAAATATGCAAAATATTCTTGCAAAAATATTTAATATCTAATTAAATAACTTACTTCATTTTGAATATGTATACTTACCTAGCTTGTTTATATTTAAAAAAAAAAGAAATACAATGCTGTTTCTATCAGAATATTTTAGAATATTTCCAACTTAATTACATAATATCGCTCTTCATTTATTATATAATTAAAATTTTTTTCAGTTTTTTTATCAGAGAAATAAATAAAATAGCGATCATCATATATTACGTGAAATTCTATGTGTCAAATTTAATTAATAATTTAATTAGAATTGACATTTAATTAATTTTAACCGTAATTTGATTGCTTTTTTTGTTACTTTTTATAATACTGACTATACGTAAACTTTTAAATAACGATTCTGTTAATATTGCGGTCAATCAATGTTAATAGAATCGTGTAAATTGTATGTCTACATCTTTTACTTTAGTAATTATATAATAAATATAAATTTTATAATCTGATTAATATAAATATAACAGTTTTGTAATATATATATATATATATAATAAGTAATAACATACTATAATACATAATCATGGTTTCTTTTTTATGCCAGCTTATGCCAGATGCGTCAATGATCCTTACTGTGCTGCTGCCGCAGTACAAAACTATATGACCAAATTCGGTCACGTAAGTAATTCGATTCTGATACGAAGATTACAGTTTACACTTTATATAACATTTATGTTAATAAAATTTTTATGTTAATAAAATAGGACTGTACCGGAAATGGAGTGATTGATTGTGAAGATTATTTGCGTATTCATCGACTTGGCGCAAATGGCTGCACCGGTGCGCTTAATAGCAAATATGAGGATAGATTCAAATTGTGTTTACGAACCTTCCAAAATCAATAACATATGTATATTATGTTATCACTTAATAATCGTCCATTAATTAATTGTTATAATATAAATATATCTGCGATATAGACCCATTTTATATCTTTACTAAAAATTTTATACAATAATTCATAAAGATGCCTTCGCCCATGTTTTTACTATTTAATTTTATACTTAATTTTATATATTAGAAATAAAAAAATAAAAAGAGCGCTGATGAGTCAAGTTGGTTAGTCGTGTTAATATAATTCAAATTTCATAAACATAAGTAGATAATAGTCATACATTTCGACTATATCATCATCTTCAGTGAACAGACAAAATTGAATGGTAACAAATATTAAGAAAAAAGAAAAATATTGTATTCAAAATATATACGCACGCAAGTATTACGCATTAAGGAGGTTGTAAGGCAAATGCAATATGTTAAGAACTACTTGAAAAAATTACAGACTATTTAATTTGTACTCTAATATAAATATATGAAAATGTATTATAAAATAATGATAAAAATCTCAATTTTTTTATATAAATACTTTAGGAATTCAACAATATTTTTGTGAAGTTATCTTGAGATGCAGACATTAATTGTTCAGTAAATAAATAAAATTTGTTATTTGTTATAAACTAATGGTGAATCTCAATGAAACTTTGCATAAGTCATGTTTAATATATTTATATAAAAACATTTAGAATTTTCTTATTATTTTAACAATTTTTGTTTATAACAATAAAACTAATAACAAATAAAATAAATAACCTATAAAAATGTGTTGCTCAATAAAACCAGAATGTTATAAACACAACTTTCACATGTATGTAGTTTATTTAAAGCGAAAATATTAATATATGTGTTTTATACCCTTACAACCTCCTTAAACCTTAAAGTATTGCATGTATAACTGCAATGAAGAAGGTTTTCGCCAGCTGTTATCCGAATGTAATAAAAACTAACTTTATCTATTAGAACGCAATCTAATAGATAAAGATTCTATTAGAATGCAATCTATTTGATATGCAATAAATATTTTTTATAGAAAACATGTCTATGTCTATGCGATGTCTCTTAAACGCTTTAATCCATCACTTGTATTAATTTTAACTTACATAATGTTTATGCTGTATGACTGTGTATGGCTAATATAGAAATAAAAAAAAAATTACAATAAAAGCTTTAAAAATTTAATATGTGGGATTTTTATTGATCCCGATTTTCATTGAAATTCTTCTCAAACTTTACAAAATTCAAGTTTTCAAACTCTCTCGTATATATACATTTTTTTTATTTCTTCAACAAAATAGCAAATTTGTCACGGATAAAAGGCATTATTTTAGAGTCAATTTCTTTTTTTACTTTAATTGATTTAACATTGATTTAACACTTCCATAACATTCTAATCTAAAGCCCTATATTATAAAGATATCCGTCTGTAATTCTTCCCAGTCAGAATTAAATGATAATGGAATCGACATCGAATCGATGTCGTTTCGACGTCGAAAGGATCAAATCGACGTCGATCGACGTCGATTCCATTATCACTTCTGACTGGGTTGGGATCTGTTTTTGGATTTTTCTAATATTCTAGGTCTACTATAGTGTCTAGTGTCATTTCTCACATTTAACTGTAATCGATTCCAGCAAATTCAATTTCTTCATTTTATAGATTTTTAACAGCTTAACAGATTTATTTGTTAGCCTTGCTCGCATTTGTAAATAATAATTTGCTACTTAAATGTTATCCGATTGTTGTAATAATAATGTATAATTATTGTTAAAAAAAGACAAAATATAAATATGTGCAAATATTTTAGTGCAAGGATCGTCAGTTGCATATTATGCTAATTTATTTTAATATATTAAAGTTTCATCGGTTTAAAGTCGTGTATTAAATGTCATCTAAGTACATATAAGCTATATAAGGTAAAGAGAAATGGTGACGCTTGGAAAATATTATTATCTATGAATCTCTCTCATTTATACACAGAAATTTTTAACAGTACAAGACATCCTCAGGATGATCCTGAATATCCTGGGACAGATATGTATGGGATATTATACTAAGATGAAAATTTTAGAAACTTAGCCCTAATTAATAAGCGCCTAAAAATCCTTAACACTTCCATAAAATTCTAATCCGAAGTCCTATATTATAAAGATATCCGTTTGTAATCCTTGGGATCTGATTTTGGATTTTTCTAATATTCTAGGTCTACTAGTGTCTATATAATGTGTCATTTCTCACATTTAAAATCATCTCTATATAACATCTCTATATAACCGCCATCAAATTTCTATGTATAAGCTCAGATATATTATAATTATTTGTATTGGATTTTCGCATGTACTGAGTGCGAGATATGATTGTATTTTTTTTGTACTAACGAAGTAAATGAATATAATAATATTTTATAAAATATATGAATCTTGCAAATTTAGCACACTTTGTCCGAGGTACATCCTGCAATCGTCTTTAGGATGTTTTAGGACATTGCTTGGAGAAATCTTTGTATAGTACGGGAATTAAGTAATAGAATTGTCTCAAAGATTACGGATGGACGTTCTTTAGAACGGATGGACGTCTTTAAGACTCAAACATTCTGTGAATGAATGATATTTAGGACATAATAAAGTACTCATTTGATAGTCCACAGGATGTTCTCAGGAAGTCCCTGGATTACAAAGAAACGTGCTAAGGAGACGTCCTAAAGAGACGTCCCTTTGCTATTAAGAATTATAAATTTCTACATTTAAATTATTATAACATTTTGTGAATGCGTTTATTTTAGAGTAATCAAAAACGCTATAATTTAAACACACAATACACACACAATCTAAACTCGAATTAAAATAAGCTATGAAATGCTAAAAATAATTCTAGATTATCTAAAACTTATCTATAAAAAGAAATATATATAAGTATTACTAAGAATATGTTTAATAATTTCTGGTAAGCGATTATTGTAAGCTTACATCAGATATAATTACAAGTATTGTGAATGGCTAAATATATATATTCATAAATAAATATTTTTAAAAACCCGCAATTTTGAATAAATATATGAATGCATATTTTTTAACGTAAAAATTTTGAGTGAATATAATCTGTAGCTTAATTACAAATTTTTATATTTGTCGGGCATACTAGGGTGAACGACTATTTCCAATACTTCAAAATTTTAATCTTTTTTCCTTTAAAAATAAAATAAAATTCTTCGGAACTCTAAATGGTTTTTCCTTATTTCTTTGTTCGTTCTATGTCTTCACATCTCTATACCACTTTTTCATTACTCCGTTGCTATCGCTGCATATATAAAAATAAGAAGCGTAAAAAAAAGCAATCATCGGAAACAACAAAAAGCGGATTATCTACTATCAGTTGACTAACATTGACTACGTTTATACTGCTTGATTTACGTCAAAGTTATAATATCGATGTTATAAAATTGACCAATCATAGTCATTTCATTCTTCAGAGAAACAGCTAATTGGCCAGTTTCATAATCGGTATTTTAACTTCGACGTAAATCGAGTAAACGTAGTCATAGTTCGGTAATAAACCTTGCTCTTTGCGGATCAGTGCTGTAGCAGCAACAGCACATTTTCAAGATGTTCTCGAGAGTCTCATGGATTGCCGTGACAATAATCGTGCTATTTTGCGTTTATACTTACGGTGAGATGTCAATGTTGTTCCATTTTCTAAGAAAAAGTGACAGTTATAAGATACACGTCTTTCTTTCGAATAAGTATATGAAAAACGTTACTATATTCAGTGGCTGTAAATTTTATAAAAGTTTACGTGTTATACATCTAGAATAATATTCACATAGAAATTGGAGAAATTGATAACTTAAAAAAAACATTTCAAAATTCCTTAAAAATTGAACTATACCGTGGTATAATTTCGTGATATAATTTCAAACATATAAGTAGTATCCATTATATTATAGTACCTACCATGTTCAAAATGTATTATCATTTATGCTTTATTACAAATGTAGCATTTTTGCATAATTTATATTTGGAACGTTTTATATAATACGCGATTATAAGTTTTAGTAATATATAAATAATATTAAATTTACGCTCAAAGTAAAATTGTTTATTCGATTATCAAGAATTTTATTAAGTGCGTATTATCATAGTAGTTTGCATTTAATAACATTTTCTAAAAATATTTATGATTCTATATTTTTAATAATACCTTGGTAAAAAAATTATGATACTTTTTAGAATTTTTCGCATTTAAAATTTACGAAAATTTTTAAAAAAGTTATCTTAAAAGTTTTCAGATTTTATAGATATGTATTTTCAAAAATTACGGAATAAAAAATCTTAAAAATTTTAGAATATTTCCACATATATGAATTCCAGAGAAGATGTAGGCTTTCTCAACATTTTAGAAAAGCGTTTCAATTCATGTAAAAAATCTGAAAAATTTTCTAAAAAATTATAATATTATACTTATGGAGATTTTAAAAAATTTAGAAATAGAAATTCTGAAAAATTACATTCAGAATTTTCTGGAAATTTTTATTAAGGAATTTATCATACAGTTATACTAGCTTTGATATATTAATAATATTCGAATTTTTTGTTATATTTGTAGCTCAACTCGTGTCGTTAGTCTGCTTAGGTTGTTTGTGCGAAGTTAGCACAGGATGTAATATTAGTATTGGTTGTAACAACATGGTATGTGGACCATTTTCGATAACAAAATACTACTGGGAAGATGTTGGCAAACCACCTCCAATGGGCGAGTCGAGCAATGATGACGATGGTTTGTTATTTTTACAAAAACTTTGAATATTTATTAGAAACAATTTTCATTATTCATTTATTTATACGTATATTATACATAGCGCTGTTTTTATATATTTCGCGAATGAGATGAAAAAAGATAATATTAGAGGAAAGTCGCCGATATTGACATAGGTCTCTTAAAATAACATCCCCTTATTTCTCAGAAACTAACTATTGCACTTTGTTAATACTAATAAAATCATGATCTGTTTAGCTAATTAACGAAGTGCAAACTCATAATTTATATATTTGTGGCTTATTTCTATACTAAATCAGCTAAAAACCAATTCTATGAATCTGGGAAGAAAATTCTTACAGTGTTCTTTTGCAAATTGCGCAATTAAAATAATAGTAACTGTATTATTGATAATATTATGTCATTTTAAATATTTATAGCTTCATAAATTAGTTTTCTTTACAGAATAGGATATCTTTATTTATAAAATAGAAATATTGGTATTATATTGCCTACTATGTCAGTTTTGGAGCCCATTTTGTCAGACGCTCATTTTTGCATAACTTACGAAAAACTTAATTATTGCAAAATTGCAAACAGTATTATAAAAATTGCTTATACTATCTGATAGAAGACACTTTATACTTTGTATTTATGTTTTTAAAGTTGTATTTTTACCTTTTGTTTAAAAAATATTGTCTAAAAACAAAGTGGTATGTCGGTATCGGTGATCTTCCTCTATACTTAAAAAAATAGATGTATATGTGATTCATGTTTAGGTATCTTTTAGTACTAACATTACTGATTACATATATATAGAGAAAGAAATAATATTAATATAACATTATTTTCTCCGCATAGTAGATAATTTAATATGACGACACACACACATTTATTGTTAGCATTAAATTAGTAATAATGGAGGAACGATATCATGGCCTTCGTAGCTATATAATGGCATCTTTGCTATATAGACAGCGAAATAATAATTATATTTATGAATAATAATTATTTGTCCGCTCGTCCTAGGCTTACACCATAGCGCTATTATACACACATTCTTATATAGTTAATACACAAATAGTCGGATTTATTAAAATGCAGTTTTATTTTCAAGCAGTTTTTAAAATGTATTTCAACATTTAATTTTGGTATGTACGTACTTCTTCATTGTTCTTAAATTTGAATCACACGAATATGTACACTCGGTCATACTTGTTCGTTATTTAACATTTTATTTAGTTATACACATTTAGAGTTACACAAAGTTAAACAACAGCATTTTGCTAATGTAGTATATGCTAATTGCTGACGACCTCTTTTTCAAAATTTTTATATAAAAATAATTATTTACTAAATTAATTAATTGTAATTCTACTGTTAATCTGTACGTTACATATAAATATTATATAGACTTTTAGTACTGAGTATATATTATATATATTTGCATACTTTCTGCAATCCTTTATTTGTAAATATATAATTTTGTATCCAAATACTTCTTTTTTAAACAAAATCAAATTTTTAAATCAATTTTTTAATCTATTTTTGTGGAGAAGCCACATTATTACCCTCATATTTTTTTTCAACCTATAATAAAATGCTGTCACATTTTTATAAATAATGTCCTAAATAATAAATATTTTATAACTTTGAACCTAAAATAGATTAAACGACACTTTGCTGAATGTATTTGTTAAATTTTAAATTTCAATATTAATTATTAATAAAGTTATTGTATGACATTTAAATGAGAAGCCATAATATCACCTTCCTCTTTATAATCGACTCATAGTTCGTATGCTAATATTATTTATTTTGGTGATTAATAAATACAAATTTTATAATTATGATAATAAATATGTGCATCATAATCAATTCTTTTTCTTTTAGCTTTTTACAAATGTGTTAATGATTTGTACTGTGCTGGTTATACGGTACAGGCCTATATGGCTAAACACAGTAAGGTAAAATCAACATTCAGATTTCCATGTATTACATGTTATATGAATCTTTGCATAACTCTAATGATAGCGCAATTAAAGGACTGTAACGGAGATGGAGTAATCGATTGTGATGATTATGTACGTCTTCATCGACTTGGTTCAGCCGGCTGCAACAACTCGCTAAGCAGTGATTACGAGAACAAGTACAAATTATGTTTACAAACCTTCGAACGTAAATAATAGATACATCTTTTATGATTTTTTATGTGAATACAAATCAACATTAGTAGACATATTTATACTAAATTGCTTCTGAAATCATTGTTGTAACGTTCGAACAAATAGTATCGAGTGCCGTCATGGATAGAGATTACATAATAAAGAAAGAAGATATATATAAATATATTTTATATTTAATCTATGTATTTTTGTACGAAAAAGAATGTTATAGGGAAATCTTACTTATATAATATTTATATTATAATAAAATTGCAGAAGTTTAATATTTGTAATTTTAAGAGAGATAAAAAAAGAAAAATTTTTATACTTTGATTTTAAAACCGTATTATACAAAATTTGTATAAAACCATTGTATTAGAGAAGAAAATAAAATAATATTCTATCAATTTAAATGTATGTAATATCTTATTTTTAATATCTTTTTAACCTCAAAAATAGAATTTTAATGTGAACCTTTAAAATTAAAAACAATATCTCATAAGAACTAAACAAGATTTTTTTATCTCATAAGAACTAAACAAATTTTTTAAGATTTCTTTTTAAGATTTAGATATATCTTTGTTAATGATGTATGAGGAGGTCCATCCCAAAAATATCCGACCGCTAGCTGTGTATATCTTTGTACTTTTGTACTGCATTTACCTCGTACTTGGCTAATTTAGATTACTTTCATAGGGGCAAATGGGGAAATTATGCGCATCTTGTTTTGGTATTGTTTGGTACTTTTCCAATAGATGAAGACATCACCGTGGTGAAATTTTTATGCAAAAGGTCCTCTTAAGATATAACTATAAAAGATACGACGTAAATACATTGTTAGTCAGAAAAATACAAAAAAGTGAAATCACTTTTCTTGTTATTTTAGCTTTCAGAAAATAAGGTAGTAAGTCTGTATTTTTTAATTTGTTTTATTAAAATTGCATATATTATTAAAGTATGTTACTAATTGGAAAACCATTCCAGGGCAATAAATTCCCCTTAGGTCCACACAGTTCCCCCACCTTCCCCTATCTATTTTTGCACAATTAATTTTTTATTTAGTGCTGCATACACTTTTTAATGATTCTTTTATATGTACACTTCACATATGTATGTTTTCTTATTTTTATAAGCTTTTTAATAAGATATTATCTATTCAGAATTTTATATAATATAATATATATATATAATACGTATATATGTACGTATATGTTTCATGACATATATGTTTTATTTATGTATTACCGTTATTATAAAAATATCAGTATATATATATATAAAAAATATATATAAATCGGTATATTTAAAAGTTCATCTACTCTTGTTTCTTTCTTCATCAAATAGTTTGAATTTATGTAGCGTGTGTGATAAAGCGGCATATTAATCATATATTTAAAAAAACTATAAATTGATATCCGCTTCATAGCAGAAAAACATGAAACTGCAATAAGCAAACAAATCAGAGATAACGCTTGTGTTGTGTTGGTTCAAGAGTTATTTTTATAGTATAAACATTAAAAATTAAGAATTATTTTTATGAAATATTTTGAATTTTTCAAAATTAATTATTACAATTATTTTTATGTGTGTGTATGTATAGATTTTCTACAAAGTATATTTTCGTTCTATATTTAAAAAATCTCACATTAAATATAATCTTATATTTAAAAATAAAATCTCGACGAATTGATCGGAATAATGATTCTGAATTAATACTGATCATCAGTGCTTCGATTAATTTTCCATTACTTATAATTCTTGTTTTCATAACTTCTCTTTTTCTTTTAATGCAACAACGATAAAATTTTTCAGTCATAGCCGTTTCAAATGATTTTTCCTTTTCCCACTCATCCTGAATCATCATATATCGTATCTATATTTTACTTCTCACTTTCATCATGCGGTATAAAAAAAGCAGTCATCGAGAAGTGCGGATCAACTCACATAGCAGTAACGTTGCTTTTCGCGGATCAACAACATCAATATATCTCCAAGATGTTTGTGAAAGTCTCGTGGATTGCGATTACAATAATTGTGCTGTTTTGCGTACATAATACTTTCGGTGAGCTATCGGTTTTTTTTAATGAAAAAGTACAAGAGTTGTATATATAACACGCAAATTTTCTTCAAATGTATGCAAATTATGTGATCATAATTATGTCATACTATTATAAGTCTTATTATAGAAATCAAATAATTTTTATTAAAAAAAAAAAAATCAATAATTATATTAGATTATTTTTTTATAAACCAATTAACTATAAATCTTAATTGAAGGCTGATATGAATCTAAAGCTCGTGAATATTACTTAATAATAAACGATAATGACTAAATAATAACAATAATTATCTTTTTTTCCTTTCTCTATCATTTCTTTATGCATACAAAAGATTCCCCAATTAGCATTTTATAACTAATTTTGAAATTTATAAATATCCTTTTTTAAAATCGGGACATAAGATGATTTTAAGACATCTTTTAGATATATTTAAAACATTTTTTTAGATAATTCTCGCAAAAATGTTTTAAAAATATTTTATACCTCGATTTTTGTGTTATCCGGAATAATTGCATATATTAAGTCGTATTTTAATTGTGTGAATATTTCCAAGTAAAACGATATTTCAAAATATATAAATATTTCCAAGTAAAACGATTCGGGAAATACATTTCATTCAATGATACTGAGGAATTCCCAATATATACTAAAATTTGAATAATTTACCTATTTTAAATAATTTTTATTATCGAGATAACAAAATAGAAATAATATCTGAATAAAGTTATATTATAAATCGAATAAAAAAGAAAAATTTTGGCCAATATATAGGTACCTCTAAACAAATTTAGTTTTACAATAAACTGGTTTGAGTTATATTTTTAACTATGACGTTATAAAACCAATCATGTCTGTGCAGATATGTCTGTGAGTAGATATACGTAATATCATATCATATATGTGTTCATGTGTTACTTAAGTAATGTATCCACTGGTGAGGGCTCGGAATGATGCCAAAACGTTTGTTATTTATTAAATAAATTTGGTTAATAATATTTATAAAAAATAGTTATATATATAACATATTTAAAAGTAAAAGAAAATTATAAATCATCTCATATTAAGTAACGATTCCATATGTTTTATACATATAAATCTGCATGTGCATAAAAACATGAATTTTCACATCTTTTTTTGTGGACAAATAATGTATAAATAGGAAGTCTGTGTGAATTGGACTATTCGCATTTTCTTTGTTTTCAAATATTTACCATAAACGTAAGAAACATCACAAATATTTATAATTGTTTATTGTTTATATTTTGTCAAAACATTAAATTATAATTTATGGAAGATTGATAAAAACATTTAATTGATAAAACAATTTAAGTTGATAGAAAATTTGTGAAAGGTGATATGAAGTGTTCTGGACATTCTACGCGAATAATGAAGAACATAATAATTATTATATCTCTGTTATTCGTTACAGCTCAAGAGATATCGCAAAAATGCATAGGCTGTATATGCGAAGCTACTTCAGGATGTAATATCACTGTAGGCTGTGATGGACCGGTATGTGGACCTTTTTATATAACAAAACAATATTGGATTGATGCTGGCAGACCATATGTAAACGGAGGGCAAAGCGATAATGATAATGAAGATAGTGAGTTGCTTTTTTTCATACAAAAAGGAAATTATACATTAAATGTTTATTAAAAATAAATTTCATTTTCTATTTTTTTATACGCATATTATAACTGCGTTCTTATATTTATGTATATATGTAATACTATATTTTAAAAAGAAAACGAAAACGAAAAAATTGTGTTTTTTTTAAGCATATATAAGAAAGTTTAGCTAAAAATAAATTAACAAAATCAATTTAACAAAATGGAGTCACATGTGTATATATATATATATTAGTTCACGTTTAGAAATAAGTTATCAAAAAATAAAGCAATACTACATACCTGTGTAGGATATGCACGTCTTCAAATTACTAATTAATTGTAGAAGCAAATATAAGCGATATTTCTCCAAAAATATTTATAATTGTGAAAGAAGGATATATAAAATGCAATGTTGTTTTCATATGAATATTCTAGATTATAATTCGAAAAGATATATCTATGATTCTCTTCTTCAATCATTAATCGCGTTGAAAAAAATCAGTTTTGAGAACTCCGAGTATACAAAATCGAAGTATACTCTTATAGTTTACATTCTGATATTATTTAGTATTACTAACAAATATAAATTTTATAATTAACGTAATATTAAAAAAACGTATAATTAAAAAATTTTTTTCCTTTAGCTTTTAGGAGCTGTGCCAAAGATGCATATTGCGCTGCTCGTACGGTAGAAAACTATATGGCCATATTTAGTCGGGTAAGATCATATTTACATTTCAACTTATACATATATTTACTGATGTAAATTATCTAATATGCGTTAATTAAATAGGATTGCACCGGAAATGGAATAATTAACTGTGATGATTATGTACGTATTCATCGACTTGGCGCAAGCGGCTGTACCAATACGTTACACAGTGTTTACGAGAATACATATAAATTGTGTATACAAACTGTAGGGGAATATTGAAATAAATAATATATAGGGTGTCCCATTTTAAATGATCCAGCCCAATATCTCGAAAACTAGATTCTGATATGAATCGACCGGATCAGTCTCGATCTTGCTTTAATCGGCCGAATTAGCCCCGATCTTGCTTTAGTCGGCTGGTTCAGCCCCGATCTTACTTTAGTCGGCCGGATCAGCCCCGATCTTGCTTTAGTCGGCCGGATCAGCCCCGATCTTGCTTTAATCGGCCGGATCAGTCCCGATCTTGCTTTATAACTTAACTAGTACTTAACGAAAAGTAACTTAATTATAGTGTTTTGGAAAGCTCTCGAGATGAGCTGTAAGAATGTGCAATGAGAAATAAGGGGTTCTATTTAAAAAATTAAAGGTGACCTTTATGTGACCTTCAGAGGACTATCCAAAGTCAAATCGATGGCACCATCGTATGTCCCCCTTCGAGTCAAACAACTTTTGTCTGAAATATTTTTATCTACTGGGTTTAGTTTTCGAGATATTTGGCTAGATCATTTAAAATGGGACATCCTGTGTGTGTGTGTGTGTGTGTGTGTATATATATATATATATATATA